CTCGGCGGTGATTCTCGCGGTGATCGGTCCCGCTTTTACCCTCGGATGGCCCTGGTCTGTACTTCGACGCGTAAAAGTAAGCGATTAGCTTAAACCCACGTCCTTTTCCCTTCCCCCCCCTCCCTTCCTCCCCTCTCCCCCTCCACCCCCCCCAAAACCAAAAAACCCGATTTCCCAACTCCCAAATTCCTTCTTATTCTCCTCATCCTCCTTCCCCTCTCTTCTTCCCCTCCCCTTTCCTCATCTAATCGCGGTTGATCATCCCGCCATTCTTTTTTTCCCTTCAGCGTTTGCTTCTTTAATATTTCCTACTTGTGGCTGGACACCACTCTCGATATACCTTTACTTCCCTTTCCCCCCGCTCAAGGAATGATCAGACATCCCAACGAAATCCTGTCATCGACACGCCTACAGAACCGGTGCGAGCTTACTCAGGGGACAATACCACCGTCCATTCTACTCTCTTGCTAAGAGATAACCCGCACACATGGCACCTTCAGCACCTGGGACGGCCAACTCACCGGCCAAGAAAACATCAGCTCCAGAAAAGAAATATAAGTGCCAATTTTGCAATCGCGCGTTTAGCAGAAGTGAACATCGCAGTCGCCATGAGCGCTCACGTAAGATTGCCAACATTCCCTATGTGTTATTTTGTTTCCCCCCCCCGCTAATAGACTCGAAAATGTATAGACACGAAAGAAAGACCCTTCAAGTGTTTAAAATGCCGCAGTACCTTCGTCCGTCGCGATCTTCTTCTGCGACATGACAGAACGGTGCACGCCAAGGATGGCGGTATCCCCCTGGTTGCAGAGGGACGCAGACGCGGTGGAGGGGTTCAGAAAAACTCATCTGCCCCAGCTCGGCCGTCGGTCACCATTGACCCGACGACCCTGGAGCAGATCGAGGCTAGCAGCAATGATGGTATGGTCGACCTTGAAACTGCAGCCATGTTGATGACAGATTTCCAACATAAGGCTGCAGCAGCGGCGACCGGTCAGGTCTCCGAGCGTTCCGAATCGCTTTCGCCAGGACGCGGCTCCTTCGAGCCCTACCTCTCGGGCAACGCCACTCTGCCTCAGATGCCCTGGGACACGCTCATATCCCCCGCGGAACCGGGGTCGATGCCCACCCTCGTTGATCGCCATGGCCCTGTCGGCGACCTTCTGATGTCCAACTCGCTGCCTATGTCGGGGCACTCTACCCCGAATGCGCTGTCGCCCTACCCCTCCATGACTGGTCCGGTCAGCCCGGTCAACTACCGTCGCTCACCTGGCCCTAGTCAGGCGTTGACTCTTCCCAAGGCTCCCCAGCTCGCTAACGAGATGGAACGCAACTATGTAGTTGATCGGATTCAGGGATCAGACAGCCTAGGTGCGCTTCCAGATACTTTCCAGCTTCCTTCCACGGTTGCGCTGAACCGGTATTTGTCCACCTACTTTAATCTGTACCATCCTCACTTGCCATTCCTGCACCAGGAATCATTTAAGCCTTCCCAAGTTCCAGCCCCGCTGTTGCTTGCGGTTTTGTCGATTGGTGCTCTTTACACTTTCGAGCGCGAACACGCCTTCATGCTCCACGTCGGCTCCAAGGTCCTGGTCAACCAATTCCTGCAACACAAGGACAATTTTGATTCCCGCAAGTGCCCCTTGACATTGATGCAGGCTACTTTGTTGAACATGGTATTTGAGAGCTGGAGTGGTGACCCGAAGGGCCTTGAATGGACTTGTTCGATCAAGAGTCTCCTGGCCAACATGGTCGCCGGCAACCGATACCAGCTCAAGTTGCGCACTCAGGCGCGCCAGAATGTCCAGCCATCGCGCGAGGAGTGGATTGAGGACGAATCCTGCCGTCGTACATATTTCGCCGTGTATATTTTCTTCGGCATGTTGACCCTCACATTCAATCACACCCCCGCTATGAGCTTCGATGAGTTTGACGACTTGGAGCTCCCATCTTCAGAGTCTCTCTGGAATTTGGACGAGGCTGATGATGAGAGTTGGCGCCGTGGCACGGTCTCGAGCGCCTTGACTGTGCGTGAGGCCCACGACTGCCTTTTCCAGGGTGAACAGACACGCTACAGTGCTTTCGCCACTCGTGTTCTCATTAACGCCTTGTTCTTGCAAGTTTGGAGCCACAAGCGCAGCTTCGAGGCGCTCCAAGATGTGGTTACCGAGTACAAGCTGCGCCTGGCCCTCGAGACCTGGGAGAACTCCCTTGAGGTGTGCGAACCGGAAACGATCGTGGTCCCGCTTAGCACCCCTCAGAAGGGTCACCCCTTGATCTTCAACTCGATGGCGGTCTACCGCAACACCCGCGCCCGCCTGGAAGTTGACCTTAAATCCATCCAGGAGGCGATGCGGTACCACTCCTCATATGAGGTGGCGGCTGCGATGACCGTCGCTCGTGAGAAGGTCAAGCGTTCGCAGGAGATGAACAAAGTTATCCAACAATGTTTCGAATGCATCGAGATTGCCGCCATTCAGGGCATCAATTGGGTTGCCAAGACATCTGCCACCAACTGGAGTGTTGAGAACCCTCTGTGCGGCCTGGATCTGATGGTCATTCTGAGCCTCTGGCTCTACCGTCTGGAACATGACGATGAGCCGGCAACTGAGGCTGAATTGGCCCTCTACAACAAGGTCCGCAATCTGTTTGACGACGATGCCATCGACGCCTTTGGAAAACTCAGCTCTACTGTCGCCCGTGTATGGGGTAACATCCTAGACGGCGTGGTTGTCTGGGGGTACGTTTTCATCCCTATTCACTCTTATGGTCCAATAACTAACCGCTTTACAGAATCACCAAGTTGATGGGCGAATCATTCAAGCTTCACTCTCAGGCCCTGGTCGGATACGAAGATTCTCTCCGTGTTCGCAAGGATCAGCCGATCCATGCGGTGCCAACTAAGTCGCTTGCTAGCGTCGGCACCGCATACTAAATTTTTTCTCTTCAATCTGTTTGAGTCGGTCTGCTTTTTTCTTGAAATTTGTGTTTTCAATTTCTTACTCTCATTTGTTGGACGCTTTCATTGGGACACCTCGGAACTAGGACTGGACATGCCAGTGGGCAGGCGGGGTGTTGGGCTTGTTTTGGAATACTTCGCCTTTTGATATCCCTCTCGGTGGTTCCTAGTCTTTGCTTTTTTTTTGCTTTTTTTTGCATTTCCCCTGCTTTTTATTACACCAGGGAGTCCAGTGTGGTGTTTCTGCTTTCCGTCTTCGACACCTGGCTGGTCCTGTGTGTACTTTCGCACTCCGTGGAGTTTGACTTTATGGTTCATACTAACCCCTAATCGTGCCCCCCGTCCATCTGATTTTCGTGCTTTCGATACCTTTTGACTTTTCATGCGTTCGCGTGCGTGTTGATTTCTTTTATCTTTCTTTCTCATATCTTGCCACTTACCTCTATTTCTTTAGTTGGCTTCCAGCCGCTGTACTTGATGTTAATTGTCTGCGCGCCTTCGACCCCGTCTTTTGCTTTCCATGCTCTTAACGCTCAGCATTGCTTTGACAATTTTCGCATTTGTTTCACCTGCACATGTTTTATGCCATTTCCATGTACTATACGTTATCGATGAATTATCTGGCGGGGACAACCTCTTTCCTAAATACTAGATTGTAGACTTCAATTGTAGTTTAAAGCCTTGATCATTTGTAGCGAAGTTGTAGTTGTAGTGGTAGGTACATAATCATCTGTAGTATCTAAACCCTCAACAGCCATGCTTCACTGCTGATAAAGTTAAGTCTACTTTCCAACAGCAACAAACAAGCGATCACCAATATCACCAATACCAGGCACGATCATGCCCTTCTCATCAACACCCTTATCAATAGCACCGACCCAAACCTCAACATCACCCCAAGTCCCCGCAGCACGCTTAACCCCCTCTTCCGAAGCAAGCAAGCTAAGCATAATAACCTTCTTCACACCCCAATCGCGCAGCAATTGGATCGCCGCCTCGGCCGTCGCACCAGTAGCGATAACCGGATCTAGCAGCACCGCCAGGCTTGCCGCTGCGGTGTTGGTGGTTGGGTTCAGAGAAGCTGGCGAGGCCGGCGACAGCTCCGACCGGTGGAAGGGGAGGTTGTTGTAGTATTCTACGGGTTGAAGAGAGACCTTTTCGCGGAACAGGCCCAGGTGGTAGACTGGGACTGAGGTTGGGAGGAGGTCGTTTAGGGCTGTGGGGTTGTGTAAGCGGGGTTTTGGACCCGTGGACGTGTTAGGAGTGGGGGATAAGGATAGGGAGTGGGGGGGATGACGAAAGGAAGAGATAAGCTGTAAATGCGAATGAAATTGCAACTGTGGTGTTTGGGATTGGATATAGGAATGGGAATTGGGGAATAGGAGAGTAGTATGGTCATATTGCAGGGAATAACATGGGCTACAGTTGCAGTGCTGGCTAGAGCGGATCACGCGGAATAGAAGAATCACTCACCATCAACCATTCCTAGACCAGAGCGGAGAATTGGCACTAGAGCTAGGTCTAATGGGTCAATGCCCTGGGTTTCATACTCGATTCCGAGGGGCGTGGTGTCCTGGGAATGAGTGTTAGGAGATCGCAATGCTGGTATGGATCTCGGTCTTGGGGATCTATTTACCGTTCCTGTTTTGACTAACTTCAGCCCTGAGAAGGCTTCAACGCCTAGGATATTGGCAATGTCATGGACCAAGCCTCTTGTCTCACGCGGGGTGGTGGAAGATGAGCGGATGAGGGAGAGCTTGGCTTGTAGACAGGGATGGGAGGAGACGTGGACATTTGATGGGAGAGACATGGTGAAGTATAGAGGGTATATAAAGAGGAAAGAGGAAAGAGAGAGAGAGAGAGAGAAGAAGAAGAAGAAGAAGAGGAGGAGGAGGAGGGAGACAAGACACACCTCTTTATCTTCTTCCCCTCATATACTCTGCGAATGACCGCTAATCTTATCGGACTCCACCTGATCTCCGGTCTCCGGTTCTTGGCAAACTTTTCCCCTTATCCTCCCTTCAACACTGAAACAGCAATGCCATCAACTGCCGATGTTGATAACCCCTCTCGAAACAATGACCCTTCAAGAGAGGCCCGACAGGCGAATGCAAATGAATCATGGCAAAACTCGGGTGACCGCGCAGCACCTGTACCACAACCTGCATCTGCTGCGCCGCCCCTCTCCAAACACGCAACCCACATCTACACCGTCTCCTATCTAATCTTCTTCTCGCTCTGGGGTACACTGGCCCGCCTAGGCCTACAGGCTCTGACATTTTATACAGGCGCGCCTGTCGTAACAGGGGTGTTATGGGCAAATGTAGCCGGAAGCCTGGTAATGGGTTTCCTGAGCGAAGACCAGCAGTTATTCCGCGAAGAATGGGGCAAAACAATAACCAAAGAAGCACCTGCAGATGCAGTTGATACCGAGCCCAAAGTCAAAAGCCGGAAACACATGGCTGTGAAGAAGACTATCCCTCTGTACATTGGTCTGACGACCGGGTTCTGTGGCTGCTTCACCTCCTTCTCGTCCTTTATGCGGGACGTCTTCCTCGCCCTGGCAAATGCCCTCCCCGACCCATCCCTGCCAACCGGATCTCACATTGCCTCCCGTAATGGTGGGTATAGCTTTATGGCGCTGGTCGCTGTGATTATACTCACCGTGTCACTGAGCCTGTCGGCACTTATCGTCGGCGCGCATATTGCCCTGGCTCTAACACGCGTGACACCCACCGTGCCCTTCGCGTTCACGCGCCGAGTCCTCGACCCTCTTGTGGTCATGCTTGCCTGGGGATGTTGGCTCGGGGCGGTGTTCCTGGCCATCTGGCCGCCAGACCGACATAAAGGCCCGGATGTGTGGCGCGGCCGGGCGGTGTTCGCTATTGTCTTTTCACCGCTTGGCTGTCTCCTTCGGTTCTATGTCTCGCTGCACCTGAATGGCAGGATTCCGACCTTCCCCCTCGGCACGTTTACGGTCAATATCTTTGGGACCATCATCGAGGGTATGTGCTATGACTTGCAGCATGTCAGTGATCTTGGGGCGGCGGTTCCTGCTGCTCTGACAGGTTGCCAGGTGCTGCAGGGTGTTATGGATGGATTCTGCGGGAGCACGACCACTATCAGTACCTGGGTTGCTGAATTGAAAGGACTGTCTCATCGGCGTCATGCGTATTTGTATGGAAGTGCCAGTGTGCTTGTCGCGCTTGGGTTTTTGGTGGTCATCATGGGTTCGTTGTTGTGGACGCGTGGGTTTGACGAGCCTGTGTGTGGATAGATGACTGGTGGTGTAATGTAATGTAAAATATACCCAGAAGGATTCAAAATGTCAACTATATGAGTTGAATTGATATGGACAACCCTTGGAGACAATATCAAAATTTTTCCAAAGCATCAAACCGCCATACTTCCAGAAAGCTTAGTAGGCCATGCATGACGTGGAACTCAGTAGAAGAGAAGGAATCTTAGAAGGTACGACAACTGTTGGAATGGCAGGAAGGGCTGCTCCCAGGCAAGAGCGGTCCTGGGTATTTGCCGAGGAAGGAACGATAAACAAAAGTGAGTATAAATAGAAAGGTCAAGGCAGATATTGTAATTCCCAACACCCATGGCTCAGATGGGATGTGCTCTGTTCCTCGAGCAGGGTGAGATTAGTCCAATACCAACGAGGAAACTGTCCCTAGGCTAGCTGCTGTTGAAGAACCTCTGGGGTCCTTTTTTTCTCCTTTGGGATCACTTGAAGCTATTCACACTTCTGACCCGCATAACCCTATCCCGAATTTCTTCTTCTTTCAAGGTACATACATTCATCGACCGATTACAAATATTATCTCTCATTGTGGACTTAGTCTAAAATTTCCTTCTCTTAGCGTTCTCCTTGTCATATTAATTGCTCCTAGCTGCGATACAAAATAATATGTTACATCATTATAAACTAATGCAACACCTTACTCCCTACTAGGCGCAGGCCCAATCTCAACAGGTGGACCAATTCCACCCCCAAACCTTCTCGCCGGACTCACCGACCGGAACCCATCAACGCGCAAAGGACTTCGACTCAAACTTCTCCCTCCTTCAACGCCACCCCAACAATAGACTCAAGCGCAATCCCACCTCCAACTAGACTAACAGAGCTAGCAGCCCTACCCGCAACCCCGCTACCCCCAAGCGGACCAACAGGACTAACAATACTAAGCGGCATAGCCTGACCAAGTGGACTTCTGATTTGCGATGTGCTCGCATTCCCCTTTCCAGCCGCGTACACCTCCATCCCGTGGACTGGTAGCTCGGCACGGTTCTCGGGCATGCCGACGCGGTCGAGCATTTTTTCTTGCACAGCTGCTTTGGAGTTTGAGGTGGATGTGTCTTTGATGGGACTTGGGCTTCGGCCTGCTGTTAAGGGGGGTTTTGTTCCTAGGGGTTGTTGGGTTGGGGTTTTGCTGCGAAAGGCTTTGCGGCGGGCGAGGTCTTGGGCGTCTAAGCGGGTTTGGGATACTGGGGCTGGCTGTTAGGGGTAGTGTAGGTATTATGCTGAAGTAAATCGCATTGAAGTTGTATGTACGTATGTGTTTGACATGACCACGGACGGTCTTGCTGATCTTTACATCGATATATGATGGAAAGGAGAGTGGGAGGGGAACTCACCACGCCAGAGAGCAACGTATGCTCCCATAACCACTATGCACAGAGATAAGAAGCCGAACACCAGCCCTAGCTCGTGGCGGAGCGAGGGCATCGGTACGTAGGGTGGATATTTGTCCGAGGCCATGGTGAAAGTTAGGGCTGTAGTATAGTTGTCTTTGGGGTCGAGTGTAGCGAGGGTATATGCCCACTTAAAGATCTCTCTTTCTAAGGGTATTTGAAAATAGATTTGAAGGAAACCAAAATATCAATATGACAGTTCTCGAGAACTCTGTGTTTGCCCTGGCAATGGGTTGCTCATCTAGTAACAAAGAAAGCCATCCCCAGTCCGAGTCTAGCCATGAGAAAGGCGTAAACTAAGAAAAATGTGGTCTGAAAGAAAAGGAAGAAAAGCAAAAACGTATAGTCAGTTCGTATTGGCCATATCTATATATACTAATTAGGTCATACACACGGGAGAATCTGCATTAGAAACAAAAAGGTATCATGTACAACATGCGTACAACATGTAACTCTATACTCCCAACAGTACCAAGTAACTCAGCAAGTCGGGGAATGCGATAGGTAAAAAAGGGGGCTCAAAGATCCAATCCCACGCCAGAACACAAGGCCATGGATGCAAAAATAAACAAAATGGTAAAAATTCGCTGCAAAAGACCATAAGAAAATGAAGATAAAGAAGAAGGGTCGCAGAAATATGTCGAGCGGAGTAAAAGATAAACAGAGTTCGAGCGGTGCCCGGCGTTTCACGTGTCGTGTCAAGAGAAAAAGAAGTAGTCGAGGCGGAGAAAGAGGTATATGGATCAGTCGAGCTAGGGTTCGTTTCAAAGCATTCCATGCCGACAATCACCCGAGCATGACAGCCGCCAGAGCAGTAAAGGTCAATCCGATCGCCATGCCAATCCATGGGGTCTGGCCGAGGGAGCCCTCACTGCGCGCGCGGAGGACATAGCGAGCAGCGAGCAAGCGCATCTCATCAGATGGCAGATCATGGTCCGCAAATGGTGCGAACTGTTCCCGCGGAGCGAGTTCTGGTAATGAGACAGCGGGCGAATTGTGTGCAATGTCGGAGGAGAGGCTGGCACCTGCGGCGGGTTGTTGTGAGCCGGCGAGCACCGCGGCCGGGGCAAGGAAGACCAGGAAGGTGGATGGTTTCATTGTGGCAGATTATAGATGTATAGTGTATGAAAATAGACTGGCGCGCAAATGCTTTGCGTTGTTGCCTATGGAGGACAAGCAACGCCAAGCTGACTGGTGCGGGTCGTGGGGATCGGGGGGTCTGGAGTTGGCAAGGCAACAGTGCTGCAGTCTGCAGATGGAGGTGGAGAAGAGGTTGGAAGTGACGATATGACTCAGATGAATGTCTTCACGAATATAAGGTATAAGTTGCGAGGATCTCAAAGCATGCCACTCAGGTCCGAGTGGGTGTGTTGAATTGTCGCAGTCAGGCAACCGGGGGAATAGGGGGCCAAACACGGAAGAGGGGAGTATCCGGGGTATTTCGTCTTTACTCTTTCAATTGTCAGAACCCAACTCACTCTTAGCCGTAGAGGAGGATTGAAAGAGAGAACGAAGAAGAACAAGAACCCAAAAGCCGAAACAGCCCAGGGGGGGAAAAGGGAAATTAAGGGAAAAACAAAATGAAGCCAGTCAGGCCGAGGCTCTGATTGGCCGAGCCGCTCTTTGGCTTTCTTTGGCCCTGTGTCCCTGGGCCGTCCAGGAGTGGGGGTGTGTCCCTGAATTCTGCGAGCTCTGATTGGTTACCCAGTTTCCCAGGTCTGAAGCTATCCAAAGTGTTTATTTATTCTTTATTATTCTTTATTTTAGTCGGGATATCTTCTTAGATGCGCTGCTGTTAGGGTGATTCAATAATTCTAGATGCATATTGACATATGCATCTATAGCATACATGTTCACCCTGTATATACAATAAAAATCCCATTTTGTTCCGCCAAGTTCTAATTATAGCTCCAAGGCATCCCGAGGCTTAACGGACAGCGCCACTCAGGATCGTCAACGCAGGCGCAAAGTCCGGGCGAATAGACGAGCACACCCCGCAGGCAAGATGACGACGCGCATTTATGGGTGGTACTAAAATCAAGATATGAAGACCCTTGCGCTTGGCATCGACCAGATCAAAGGACGGCCATCGATTTGAGCACGCGGTGCACTGGCAGCAATCCAACCGTTGACCAGCCTTGATATCCGCTCTAATCCGAGTCCGTACTTTTTTTTTCATGCGGTCTCTGCGCAAAAGTACCCCCAGCCTCAAAAACAAGCCGTTGAGATCAAAAAGCCCCACACACAAAAACACATATCCGGGTTCAGTGGTCCGACGTGTTCTCTTCGGTTCTGCAGTGCGCGCAAGTCTTTGCGGTATTGTCCGTGAGAATATCCGTTGGCGTAGCTTCTCCGTCCTGCGGAGATACCGGGGACTGCGATTCTTTAGATAGACTGGCTTGCAAGTTTTTCAGCCTGACCTGCTCTCGCGCTCTGCGAACTGCAAGGCGTATGTCGCTAGGCAGGGAATTGGTTTCTATTAAACAGTCCGCACAGGCGCGGCAGTAATACCCGGATTGAGCGTTCTTCGCTTCAACTAGCCGGCGCTTGCTGCTGGGGGCGGTGATCTCACCGCAGTGGACACAAGGGCTTTTCATAACTCGTGGGTTGCTTTGCATACGGGTCGCTCTGAGTTTCCTGAGCGCTGCAATTTTGACGGTGCTTGGCAAGGCATCCGTTTCAAGTAGAGATCGTGTACATGGCTGGCAGTAGTAACCTGCCGCGGGATTCTGGGGCTCAACGAGCCTTCGTTTGCTGCTAGAGATGGTTTTGTCACCACAGTGCATGCAAGGGTATTCGCCGCGGCTCTGTTTCATCTGTTTGGGAGACTTGGAATGTTTGCGGGCCACTGCTGATTCTCCGGTCGAAGTAACTGACTTGTTATTTTTTGAGGCAACAGTAGGAGGACGCCTACTCCGCATCTGTTTGCGGTACTGGAACGCTGCGAGATCTAAGTCGGTTGGGAGGGTACCGTGATGATTGACATGCCGAACGCATGTCCGACAGTGAAACCCAGCAGAAGGGTTGTTCGCATCAATGAATTTACGGCTGCTTCTCGGAGCTGTCATCTGGCCGCAGTGCCCGCATGGGCTTGTTTTGCTTGCCTCTCCACTCGCCCTGATCAACCTCCGCCGATGGATGCCTGCAAGCTGCTCCTCATTTGGCAGATGGCCATGGGCACGGATGTTCCGAACACAGGGTTTGCAATACCAGCCGCTGGAGGGGTTGCCAGGCTCGACATGTTTTCTAGCCTTGGGGATGGTTTTTCCACCGCAGTGTGCGCAGAGTTCTGGTTCTTTGGCCGCAGAGCTCTCATAGCGAGATTGTTGAGCCCACAATCCCTTGCCCTGGCCCCGAATAGTGTGTGCAGGTCTCAAAAGATCACCGAGCAAGCTCCGTAGCGAAAAAGCTTTGTTGGCATGGTGTGGAAATGTCGCGGACCAGCGACGTGCGCAATGGGTGTCGCGTAATTGAGAAAAGGATCTCAGGTGTTGTGTGATATTTTGTTTTGTTTGCAGTCCATTGCGGAATAATTGCGCATAGGGGAGTTTGCATTGATATCCGAGAGGACGCAACGACATGGCGAAGGTTCGTCACTCGTGTAGCACCGGAGACACTTGATTTGGTCTATGCAGGCATTGTAGAGGGATTATGAGTAGTTGGATTGGCTGAATTGTCGCTTGTGCTCGACCGTAGTTGCTATTGGGCATGGAGGATGTAATGGTCAAATGCTCTGAATTCGACACGCGCAAATAAAGTTCGTGTACGGAGCAGCTTGCGCGATAGTTAACTAGGCCTTGGCACTTTTGGTGAAATTACTAAGCTGGTCCGCAGCCATTGTAAAGTCACACAAAAGTTGGAATATAGCGTGCAATACAGTTGTATTTTTCTCTTAGCTACGAAGAGAGACTGGGAGAGAAAGAACGAGCAGAGACAACTAGCTATCTCTATCGCAATCCTGCACATACATATAAAAATAGTCACGTGACTACAGATGGGATTCAAAGTTGAATTCTTGAGGAGGAAAAGGGAAACTTTACCCCAGTCTAACTATTTTTGGTGATTGTCAAGTCAACAACCAAGACAATTGCTGCAGTAAGCTTGCAAATTTCTTTTCCATTCATCATAAGATGCCTTGTAGAGGTATCAAAGCATCTCATCCCAGTTCGGCGTGACTGTGAACTTGCCAGATAATTGGCCCATAGACCAAACATGTTTTGGTATGTCTTCTTCCGACTCCGGTGGAACCTTCGACAAGATGACGGCTTCCTGGACGAAACCAACCGGTGCTCCACGATCCAACTCCATACTGATTCCACCCCAATCTAGGGTCACACGGCCGGACTGGTGTACATTCAATTTGCCGACACGACCTGTGGGCAAAGACCATGGATGGCCGGCTGTAATGACACTGTTCTCTTTTAATTCGGTTGCTTGGGTGCTGCCCACAATTTCCACGTCGTCGCCCGCTTCACGCTTGATCTCGTTCGGCGGAGGTGCGGTTGCTGCAGCTTGGTGTTGATTGTCTTGGGAAGAACCGGCGACTCTGAGGTAGGGGGTCATCGGTGGGAATTGCATGAGGAACATCTGGCCATGTAGAGGGTTGTCTTCTTCCTGTTCTTCTTCCTTTTCTTCGTTCGGTTGGTCACCTTCCTGTCCTTCCACTGCCGCGGGTTTACCTTCGGCAGCTCCTTCGGTAGTTTCTGCTTCTGTAGTGGCATTCTTTGACTCCTTGGGAACAAGAAGATCCTTAATTATAGCCAAATCTTCCATGTGTCGGTCATATTCGTCGATTTCCTCCTTAGTGTGAAGTAGGCTGCGTGGGTCTGGGATTTCGGGCTCAGGCGTGGGTTGAATCGATCGTAATTCTGTTGTGCTCCTCTTTGTTGGGCTCATGCTCTGAGCCGAGCGCACACGAACATTATGCTCTGGTAGGAGGTCATCGTCATCTGCATGTGGAATGGCATCCGGCATAGTTGTATCGTCGTCTCGGGGTTCGGGTTTAACCTTGGTAGGTGTACGGCCGACATCCTTCGCTGCTTTCTCCTTCTCTGCTTTTTTGCGGAGGTCGGCGGTTCTGCTGGTGCTAGATTCCATGTTGACGCTGATGACTCTTTCCTCGTGTTCATGTCGCTCAACACGAACAGGGCGAAGTCCGCGTTCCCCGCTCGACCTGCTAGGTTGTTTGCCCTTGAAATCCTTCGGCGTATCCCAATCCTCCTCGTCGCTATCGAGGTTGATATGATCGATGCTGACACGGAGTGCATTCTCTTCGTCGTCTGAAGAGTCATATGCGCGCCCACGGTTGACCCCAGTAAGACCAGACCGATTGTATCCTGATCCTGCACCGCCTGCGCTTCCTCCATAACCACCTCCACTTCCGCCGCCATAACCACCACGGCCTCGTTTCCCGCCTCGGCCACCAAATCCACTCATGCCCATAGCCATAGGTCCACCACGGCCACGGAACCCAGCACGACGAGCAGTACCGCCACGGCCACGTTGGATAGCGGCAGCCTCCTTCAGACGCTCATTGTATCGTTCTTGTTCAAGTCTCTCTATCTCATCTCGCTCCTGCTTGCTGCGACGTCCAACGGCCTTCGGTTTGTGTTTCATGACTGGTTTGGCCGGCTCACCACCAAGCGCGGATGGAGGCCGACTGCTGGGCGCGATACTGCCGGAGGGTGTGCGTTTGTTCAGTGATTGAAGCCGTTGTACTGAGGCTCGACTCGCAGGACCGGGCGCGCTAGTTGCCGTGGGAGCATTTTGCGTAGTGTCCCCGCCAGCGGGAGTAGGAGTAGTTGTGTCGGTTCGAGCACCACGGTTGGCGGCCCCTCCACGGGCGCTTCCACGAGAGGCAGCTTTGGGAGGCATTGTGGTCGCTTTTCAGACAAGGCGCTTAATGCGGCTTGCTGGGCGGTTGGAGAAAAGTTCGTGTAGAGGGGCTGGTTTGCGCACCGCGTTACATGCAGTCTCAGCGCTGGGATACCTAAATTCTGTTCCCGTTAAAAGCGAAAATGCAACTAGAAATAAGCAACACGCCGTTTGGCAAAAGAATGCAAGCGTTTTGAGGTTCGAGAAAGTTAAGCTCTTTAAAAAAGTTGCGGGGCCAATCACACCGCTCTTGTCATGTGACTCATCCCGCCATGTCTCCATGTAACTTAAGCCATGATGAGACGACTAAATGGAACGTCGGAAGATTGAAGTGCAAAATAAAAATTTGAAACCCTTTCATTGACTCCCTAACTACCCGGAAGACGAAATAGGTCGAGATCGGCCATATGTTCTACAACTTGTCACGCTTTGACCTCGCCATCCCTCGGAAGTATATAATGCTTCCGCTACTGATCCGTACACCACACACATGAAACCGACATAGACAATGATAAATAACCCAGTAGCATTGATTCCGAATGAGCGAGTGGATGTGACAAGAAGCATATAGCCACAGAAACACTAAGACGCCGAAGAGACACAACAACAATAGATCAACCGCTTGGCAGTGTACAATGGAGGAAGCATGGCTTGTAACCAGAGAAGGGAATGTGTAGTGAGAAGCGCAAATGATGATGCTAGTATAAGGACTGTCTCTGGCGCTGGCCAGAAGAAGGCGAAATGAGAGAGTGAGGGTGGATGAGATTGGCCCAAAGTGAGGATGGTAAGATGAATGAGAGACCCCATGGTCACGAAGAAGATTGGAGGTGCGAAACAGTTCGGCGCTTAGAGATAGCGGGGGCAATTGCAACCTGCAGCTCCACTAGCGCTTCCGCTTCTTATTCTTGTCTGCTATAGACGAAGAGACGGGAGGGGTCGCAGGCGTTAATGAAAACTCCTCCTCGTCTTCATCCATTTCTTCCCCGTTCTTCTTCACGGGGACACCCATATGACGACCGTAGCGCCCTTTGCGACCATTGCCCTCATCCTCACTGAGACAGCCGTCAATTCCAATGCCTGCATCCTTGCAACGTCCACAGGGGCGCTGACGATCACAGCCTTTCTTGCTCTTGCGGCATCGCTGACAGCGAGGCTTGGTAGAAAGATCTTCCTCATCCGCACCGAGCTGGTGCTGGAAGTTGACTGAGCCCCCCGAGACCTTTCGGGAAGACGCCGGGCTGAGAGGTGGAACAGGCGCAGCCGACTTCTCGGATGATTTGCGAGGAGCGGGCATAGCATTCTTGCTTTTGTTCAATTTCGCAGGCGCAGGCTTCTGGCTGCGAACCTTGAAAGATGTGGGGCGGCTTTTCGGCTTCTTTGCCTTAGGTGCAAACTCCTTGTAAAGGATATCCTCCTCCGCTTCACTTTTGATACCATCATCTGCACCATCCGAGCTGTGGTCGCTGCTATCGGCGCTGGGAAGGATGTCATCCAGGCCCTTGAGGTGGCGCTTGATGGTTCCCGGCGGCAGCATTGGGCTGGAGTCCAACCTCTGGCGACGAGCTGGCAAGTCGTCCTCGTCCTCGCTAAAGTCTTCCCCATCGCTTGTAGCACCAGTGGATGAGGCAGCGTCAGCGGCACCACTGAAAGCATCGTCCAATGTCGAGGCAGAGGTGCGTCCGTGAGAGAAATTGGACGCATCGCCCAAGCGTATCAATTGCATCGCCACATCCTCATCGGAGATGCAGCTTGCAATAGTGGGGTCAGGTGTGGGCAATATACCTGGACCACTCACTCGGCTAGCCGAGCTGTTATAGGCTCCCGTGTCGCGCATGCGATTTCCATGGTCTGGAACCACGGGAGTCGCATAAATCGTATTGCGCCCCGAGTGGACACCATATTCGCTGTGGCCATAGCTCTGCGGCGATGGAAGCGCATGTTGATAACTATACGGGGGTTGCGGTGGGCGTGCGAAAGGCGACCCAGCGCCATCCTGGCCAATCGATCGACGCTGGGGAGAGATGGAAGAAGTGGAGGTAGTAAGGGGCACTTGGGGAGGAACAAACAGGGGGAGCTCCTAAGGGGAACATATTGATTAACGACAGTCTTTGATAGAGAAAAACCCTCTCGTATGAGTCACTCACAGAGCTATCGAACTTGGGTCGTTTGCGACGACCATCTTGTAGTATATTCTCCATGCTGATATCCGAGCTAGCAAAGAGCTCATTGCGAGCCCTGCGAGCATAAGCGCTCTCGGTATCGCTGTAGTCATCATCATCATGGAAAGCTCCATGGGTGCTCGAGGCCCGGCTTTTGTTGCCCGCGCGGGAGGGAGGCTTGTGCTGAGAAGCGCTGCGGAGACTCCGGTTCGACGGAGAGGTGCTGCGCTTTCTCGCAAGCCGAGAGGATGGCCGTCCTGGCTGATCTAACGCCGGCGACGTTCCATCTAACATCTGGAAAGGCTCCGCCAGACTGGGTCGCTTGCGAGGCTCGACATTGAACCCGTTATAGAAGTGATCCCCATATGGTTGAATGGGAATGACTCGCACGTATACAGTCCGATTGTTCTTGAGATTCTCGTACCTTGCGATGAGGGTGGTCCCATGTTCATCCTCGAAGCTGACCCCACTGGCAGTACCGTCATATATTCCATAGAAATTTTTGACCGTTGTGACGATCGAGTCCGTGGTATCATGGGGATAGATTTGAACGCGCATCGGAATACGAGCTCGGACTTTGGAGTTCTCATCAAGAAGTAACTCAAAGGCGATATTCTTGGGTGCTGGGCCTTTCAGCGACAGGTCTCGAGCTACATTGGCAGAGTCTGCCAGACCCGGCTGCTCGACCAGGCCAGAAAGCCCTTCATGCTGAACCGGTTGCATATCAAAGTGTTCCAAATTGAGTAATACTCCACTGCTATACCAAATTCTGCATCAACCCACTGCTTGTGTGCCGTAGAGGGCGGGAATGTGATCCATGGCAAGACACAGAGGAAGGGCAGGTGTAGAGGGAAGAATCCATCAAACCTACCACAATTGTTGAATTCAAACGATCAGGCTGGTGGATGGACCACCCCCGGTCTTGATGTATAGAAATATAGAAATATAGAGACCGTCGAAGCAAAACCTTCGATGGAGGTGGGAGGGGAATCTGCAGTCGCAAGAGCCGGAAGCGACTCAGAAGGGTAAATGTGGGCAACCTGAAGGAAAACAGACCATAGAGGTTAACACAATGGGGTTCCAAATGCTCGAATATACAATAAGGATGGCTTGTGTCTTGGAAGATGATGGATGGATGTGTCGCTAACCGAGTCCGGCCGACCTTGGAGGCGGGCTTGGGGGAAGCAAGCGAGATGACCCGGAGAAGAATGGAGAGATATTTCAACACACCTAATTCAACTCAAACAGAGACTTCCAGTATCGCAGATACCTGGATTGTCCAAGACAGGGCGAAGGGTCGAAGGATGGGTTCGGTCGAGGTCGAGAGGGGATTGTCAATTCTACGAAGCGCTGAGGCTATGTCAGTGGTGGCATCTCCAGGATTAAAACGGGGTCAGGGGAGTGAAAAGTGAGATCGAACGAGAGTAGAGACACATACCCAATACTGTTGACAGCGCTGATGGCGATTTGTTCGAGGGGTTGTTGGATGGAAGGAAGAAGGTTGAGGTGGGTGCGTACGATGGTTTCACCTAAAGCGAGAAAACGGCCTGCCTGAGTCGGTGACATGGCGATTTGCGCTTCCGGCGCCCATCGATGCAGCCATCACATCCCATGGCATTAATGAATATATATAAAATCTTCATTTGATTTGCAACTATTCTATGCATCGAAAAAAATAACTATGTGTGAAGCCATCCCAATGCTGTATCTTTTCGCAAAGGCGCAAAAGCTGTCGCAAGCCGGATGCCATTGCGCCGAGTGACGGAACACTTTGTCTAACCCTCCTTCTTGTATATTATGTACGAAATTGAGAATATAATCCGATCTTTGAGTCTTGAGGGATGAAGTGTAAGCGAGTGTGGGCTACCTAAGACTGTTGGGGAGGGGAGGATGCAGCGCTTCACACAAAGCAAGTAGCTTGGGTACCTCTAACTATCGCTACAAGTAACTATCTAGGGTATCGAGGGCTAAGGGTGTAAAATAAGATAAAGGAATAGCGCCCAATAGATTTATGGGCTTGCAGCTAGTTCCTAGCGTGACCACGTAGCAACCCATACCTTTTTTTGGTCTGTTGTGGAGGTGTGCGCTTGGACAGAATTGACATTGTCCAGTCATTTTCCCACCATCACCCTTGTCGCATTGCTCATTTACTATGCGAATTGGAAAATACAAGATATCGCGACACTTATAATGTGGTTTAATAGCAAAATCGCTAGGGTAGGGTGGTTTATGGACGTTTTGTTGATCCGCCTAGAGGACCGGACCTAGATATTTATACTCAGCCGAAAGGATATCACCGAAAGAACCAAACCGTTTCAATCCCCAGAATATTCTCTTTCATAATATCGCATGACTCTCTGGAGTTGTCTCGCATGATCTGCAACATGGATTTACCCCTCCTCGGACCTATGTAAGAAGGTTAAAAAGGGAATCCCGCATCGGCGTTACAGATCATTCCTTTCTCCTTGGAACCTGGCTACAAAAGTGAGATCGGGACATCGCAAATCCGTGATTGCACAGTTTTAGTGATTTCTCAAGAAAATAGGCGATGAAAAGGGGGGAACATTTCTGCTTGGTGGAGTCAGGCGGTGATGCTGAGAGACTGGGCGCAAAAGGTCCTTTGGATATGTTGACGATGAAGATCATCGGATCCGAGAACGTGGCTACTGTCTATAATTTACTCCGAAACTGCTCATTGCCTCTGATCTGAAGCCCCGCACCACTTGGCGAGACTGGAAAAGCCGACGACCGTCGCAATGATAGGAGTGGGTTTCGGTTGAGCACAAAGCTGCCAAACAGGAACCGCTTCATTCCGGGTGTCCCACCTCTTGTGACGGCGGTGTAGCTCTCACGTGGTCTCGTGTAGATAGCGCGTCAGATCTAGATTATGATATAAAATGGCGATTGTACTCGCAAACATGAATTATTTTGGGATATTATTGTCGGTAACTATGCATTACTATTGAATGTACTTGGAGATAACTTTTTAGTAATATCTAATCTTGTTTTCGTGGTTCTTTAATCAAAAACGATGTTCGACAGACGTCGCAGGAGACGCGCCGATAAGGTTAATGACGTCAAAGATGTACCAAACAATGCAAACCATAGACAAACAGAACAAACATTTAACATTCTATCAACGTCCCGAGTCCTCGACCTCGGAAAGTTGTAACCATGGAACCTTGAAAGGTTGATATCAATTTGACAAGGTCATGATTACAATGTACATATTCTCACTAGGATGATGAACAATGTATAAAATTGATACCCCAGAAGCTAATTAGAGGTACCATGGTATTTATCTTGCAAATTTGCCTTCAATAACTATAGGTTGATAGACCTATCTAGTCTAGACATTCGACTGAGAAACCGGCAAATAGGGCTCAAATAAAGGTAAAATAAACTCAGATCTTCCCTTCGATGTTCTCTATATTATTTAATCAAAACTTCCATAAACTTTGAGCCTAGCATACATATGATGACACAGGCGTGCATAACAGTCGCAGGGCAGTTTGCACAGTAGGATGGCGTGCGCCACCGTAACCTCCAATTTAGGAATAGCGTGCATTGTCAACAAGGCACATCTTTAGGAACAAGGGACAACCCTCCCTTCTTCACGGTTGTCACTTCCATTCTCGCTCATTCACTTGTTCAGTCAGTTCTATAAAGTTACCTATTCTGCCTAGGTAACATTCAAGTGACAAACTGGGCTAGATCGGGAAGGAACGAGTGAGCGGGTCCTATCGACTGTTTATTTTGCCTGGGCTGGCCAATCACGCCGGGCAACTCCGCTCCCCCCAACTGAGCAAAAAGTAAACAACATCTCTCTACCAACTTCAAGGTAGACTCGACACTCACGTCTTGCAACTTCATTGTTCACGATCATGGATGCAAAGGTAAGTCAGCTCTATGTTTATGGTCTGGTTTGCCCGATTCTTCTGTACCTACGCGTCAATCGCGTAAAGCGGCGCCGCGTTGTCGCATTGTCGTGTATTCGCCCACTTTTGGTCTAGAGTTGCTTCATCCTAAACCACACTTGGAGAACTTGGAGATATTGATGCTAACTGATGTTACAGCCACAGCGCTTCCGAGTCGTTGGGGATGAGAACGTGCCCCCTTCGTCTCTGCATCAAAATCATAAGGTCATCCACCAGCGCAACAAATCGAGCCCCGCTCTGAGTATGATGGCCCAGAACAATGCTGGCCGACGCGCATTCGTCGATGTTAGCAACACCAAGGATATGAACCGAGCTAGTCGGGATGACTCCGCCGTTGGTGGAAAGCCTGCTCTAGTTGAGGTTAAGGCTCCTGGACTGTCCCAGCCAGCCCAACGTCGCATGACCTTGGCAGGAACTAAGGGTGTTATTGAAAGCGTTGCCACAACAAAGCCTATGAACCCCGCCGGTAAGGCCCAACCGGCGTATAAATCGAAGCGAAACAACGCCGTATTCAAAGACCAATTGCATACCGTTCCCGAGAAAACTGCATCCAAGGAAACCAACACAGACACAGATGCCAAGACCAGCCACAAGGGAGTGGAGAAAGGGCGTCATTTGAATAGTATTGTAGTGCGGCCTTCAAACGTGCTGAACGTTGATACCGCCAGCCTCGTGGAGTCTGATGCCACCGTTTCCGAGACCGAAGATCTGAAAGAGTACACATACACATACGTCAAGGAACCCGTGCCGGCGGTATCTGAGCCCGAGGAATGGGATGGGGATGATACCGAGTACAATGTTGCACCCTTCTACTCCTTCCGTGGGGATAACGCCGACGGAACCACCGTCATTTATCCATGCATGAGCAATGTGACCACTCGTGAGATGTTCCGGGCGAAAGACATCGTCGAAAGCGAACAGACACCAGAAGATATTGAGGAGGAACTTTTAGATACGACCATGGTCGCGGAGTATGGCGATGAAATTTTCCTTCATCTAAGAAAGAAAGAGGTATGTTTTACTCTCCCAATGCCTGATAACCAGCTTGAACTAACCATGTCTGTAGATCGAGATGCTTCCGGTTCCCGATTACATGGCCCGTCAAAGCGAACTCCAGTGGTCCATGCGCGCGGTTTTGATGGACTGGCTTGTTCAAGTTCATGGGCGCTTTAACTTGCTCCCTGAAACTCTGTTCCTCACAGTAAACTACATCGACCGTTTCCTGTCGTACAAGGTAGTTTCTATGGGCAAATTGCAGCTTGTTGGGGCGACAGCAATCTTCATTGCTGCAAAATTCGAAGAGATTACAGCCCCGTCCGTGCAAGAGATCGTTTACATGGTTGACGGTGGATATTCCGTCGACGAGATTCTGAAGGCAGAACGGTTCATGCTCACCATCCTCGACTTTGATCTTGGATGGCCTGGCCCTATGAGTTTCCTTCGCCGTATTAGCAAGGCTGATGAATACGACCTTGAAACTCGTACTGTTGCCAAATACTTCCTTGAGCTGGCTATTATGGATGAGCGCTTTGTCTGCACTCCCCCTAGCTTTATTGCTGCTGGAGCCCATTGCCTGTCTCGCATGCTGCTTAACAAGGGCAACTGGGTACGTTTTCTTCTCCAACCCATTCAATTATCATATTGCTAACATTCAAAATCAGACACCGGCACACGCATTTTACAGTGGTTATCTTTATTCCCAGCTGATTCCAGTACTCGTCACACTGATGGAATGCTGTGAGAACCCTCGCCGCCACCACGCCGCCATATTTGAAAAGTATTCGGATCGTCGTTTCAAGCATGCCTCGATCTTTGTCGAAACTGGGCTTGCCTCCGACTTTGTTTTGCCCGAGCCCTCTGATCTCAATGATCCAGATCGCTTGGACGGCTATGCAAACTACTAATCCTTGCCTCAAACTAATACCCCGGTGGTGTGCAGATACAATGCTAAGCTGGCTTTCAGTATTGCTGGTACTCCCCACCATTCACGATCTCTAAACTTATTTCTCGTTTTTCTTTCGGTCAACATGGGTGAACAGGCGAATCGGTTTTTTATGCATGGCGTTTGCGTGTTATTCCAGTCTTTTCCATCTCCTTCATTCTGTCATTTGTTTTCTTCGTGGATTTGTTTCTTCCCAGCTCTACTGGGCTGACGACGACATGACTTGACGCCATCATTTTCCGAACATGAGAGTAAATGATCGGAAGGCGTTGACGATGATCTCTTTCTCTCCGGGCGTTCTAACCGCCTTTTTTCGTTTTTTTTCCCCTGGGGAATGGGGACCGTTGATACACTCTCTATCTACACAAGTCACCTGACTGGCTCTGCGCCACTCTGTATGTTGTACTGTACTAGTAATAGTCGAATATGACGTCCCATTTCTATAACTACATCAAGGTAACTACACACTTCCAAGTACGACATCCAGTCTTCAGGTCTGTTCTCTTAGCCGGAAAAGAACTTAGCTATCAGATAATGTGAACTTGCAAGACTTTGGGTTTCCAAATGCTGCTCTGTAACCAGCTAGGCTGAAGCTCCCATTCCGTAACTCTACTCAAGGCAACACCTTCAACCTTTTCTTCTTCGATATCAAGACAATAAATATAGATACTCTGAAACTCATTCCTTTTCGACACATAGGCAACAAGCCGATCCCAGATTTCCCGCGAAAGAACTTTGCAAGCAACGCCTTCAACTGGGTGTAAGGGCTCTCCACCGATAAGGACTTTAGCGAGATTGGATGGATCCATCAGTGCCCAATAGAAGAAGGCATCAACTTCTCTAAAAGGTGCGGGTGGTCAGCGTAATCCGGATGTTCGGAAGAAGTTGTTGGAGTAGCTTTCGATCTTCCGAGGTAGAATTTGTGAACCATAATAAGGGAAGCGGAGGTCTTCGGTTATCTTTGTAGGAGACAGAAGTCTGTCTGTCTCACTTTAAGTCCCGAGAAGTATTTTGAAGCTATGTTTAGCTAGGTCCCCATGATCTGCATGCCGTTGGAAGGAGGATTGTCCATTAGTATGTCGAGCGGTCGACTGTAGAGTACAGAGTATACATACACATGCCGGACTTATCACCTTGCGACAAGTATAAGGCGGCGTAAGATGGTATAAAGCCTAAACCGTATAGATGAATTATTTTTTAACCATGGATGTCTCGTAAATCATTTCGATTCTTTTCCCATCTAAGATGATATATCCGCTGTATGTATTTTCAACCTCGGAACCCGCCAATGCGAATTATTGATCAAGTCCATTAAACTCAATCAACTTTTTGACAGCCTCAATCACTCTATCAGCAAGACTGCTGCCATTGGAGACAACCGAAGGATTATCAAACCGCTCCGTAAGAGCCTCATCTAGCATGGTGCGAAGCCGCGAAACAAGTACGCCGATCCGGGCCCAGCCGCGTAGACGGAGCCAGCCGTCTACAACTAGTCCACGACCCACAGTGTCGAGTTCTATAGAGCCGCAGAATAGAAGGAGGGAGTACGAGTTGAAAGCTGCAAGTAAGAAAAAAGAAGGTTAGAAGGTGATACCCCGAGGAAAGGAAGAGAAGTAACCCACGGGTGAGGTCGCGGATGAAGACCTTGCTGGTAGCCATCTTGGTAAAGTAACTGAGATATGCCGCGGCACTAGGATAGCCAGCCGCAGAGAAGAGGATGGAGCTGGGGTGAATGAAGACACGGCCGTTCTCCTGATTGAAGTACTTGATAGTGCGAGCATCCGGATCCACCTCGACGGTACCAGTAACCGAGCTGGCGAACTTCTTATCCGGGAATGAGATCTGCGCGACCTGAGGTTGGAAGGCTCCAGCAACAAGGGCGCGGATCAAGTTGCGATTGGTTGCGTTGCGATTCCAGGCCGAAGCCGACGCATCGGAATACTGGATTGGCAGGACGCCTGCGTCTTTGAGCGAGGTAATGAACTGCGCGCGGTTGGAGGAGATATCGCGCAGCGTCTGGTGGGAGAGGAAGTTGGCGGCACACCACGACTGGGTGCCCCAGTAGCCGCCCTGAGCGCGAGTTCGCTCGGACCAGGCTTGGTATGCTGAGAGGTCGGTGAGGAGGTCACCGTCACCCGGGCGAGAGAAGGTTGCTTTGGCGGCGTTAGCTTCGTCGCGTTTCTCACGTGGTGAGACGAAGGGACTTTTGACTGTTAGCATGGCTGCGATTGTGAGGCAGGGTTCCATGCAGCCGAAGATGGAGCCGTAGATCATGAGCTTGGCGCAGCGAAGATCCGCGGGGATCATGGAGAGGTAGCGGCCCAGTGCTGTGAGTCTGTCGTGGTCTAGAGCGCCTACGCGATGCAAGAAGCTTAGTGCGCCTTCAACGGCTATGCTCTCCGGTGGAGTAATGGTGTTGGCTAGGAAGGTGGCGACGTCGTCAATGCCTTTCATGGATTTCACAGACAGACACAGCTGCTCCAGGGGAACACGGCGGATCTCTGGGTCTGGTCGTTGGGCCATATTTGCTTCGGCTTTGCGGGTGTAGAGCTTATAGCAGATACCTGCACGGACACGACCTGCTCGCCCACGACGCTGTTTGCAAGCGGCTTGTGATGCCCATACTTCTTGGAGACGGACCATGTTATCCTTTGGGTCGTAGCTCGTTTCCTTGACTCGACCGGTGTCAATGACGGCGACAACATCCTCGATTGTGATTGAGGTCTCCGCGACGTTTGTAGCGGCAATAACCTTTCGCTTTCCTCTTGGCGCGCTCTGGAATACTCGTCGTTGTTCGGCTGGAAGCAAGGAGGCATGTAATGGCAGAGGATGCATATCGGGGATCCTACTGACTGCCTTCAGACACCTATCAATCTCCAATGTACCAGGGAGGAAGATTAAGATGCCTCCTGGCTGGTTTCCTAGCTGAGAATCGATGTATTCGACAGTCGCTGCGATCAAATCATAATTGATTCCCATGCCCAAGCTCCGCAGGGCTTTGCCAAGTGTTTCTTCTCCCCGAGGGGGTTCTTCCTCGTCCTCGTAGCCCTCGGCAAGTTCTGGCGCAAATGATGTGTACCGGATAACGTCATCCAGGTAGTAGTCTTCGACAGGGAATGTTCGGCCAGGAATGTTCACCAGTCCAACGGATCTCTGACTGCCAAAGTATCTCATGAAGATACCAGCATCGAGGGTGGCACTCATGAGAATGACTTTCAGGTCCTTGCGGTAATTTAGAACATCCCTCAGCAGCGCCAATAAGAAGTCTGTATCTAGACTTCGCTCGTGGACCTCATCGACCACCACGTGCGATACGTCCGCGAGGGAGCTTGCGACATTGCCATCCGCATCGCCACCGGATTGCATCCGGCGCAGCAAGACACCAGTAGTCACAAACGTGATCTTTGTTGAGCCAGGTTTGGCTTTCGACTCGCCTCGGATCACATATCCAACTTCATCACCGACTACTGCGCACCGCTCATCGCTAACTCTGTCGGCAAGACCCAGGGCCGAGATTCGTCGTGGCTGCGTGCAGATGATGTTGGCAGCAGCTCCCAGTCCTCGCTGGATCATGTCGTCCAGCACAAACTGTACGGATTGTGTACTTTTACCACTACCAGTCTCACCCGAGATGATAGTCACCTGGTTTGAGTTGATAGAGTGTATTATTTCATGTTGGATATTCCATGCAGGAAGTGCTTTTCTTTTCCGATTCATCTCGATCTGCGGCGCGGTATCTTGTTTGGCCTCCCAAGCATCACGGATCGCCAAGCTTCGTTCCGAGTCAATCTTCCAGTCAATGCCTCTGCGATTCTTCCTACTCGAACGCACAGGAATTTGGTGGGTCTCAGCTACCGACGAAGCCGTCACAGCGGAAATCTCCCGCAATTTACCCGGGTTCTCCATGATGCTCGGCAGATTGACCTCCAGCCAATCCATAATGTTGAAAATCATAGATTCACCCGTAAAGTTTTCCTCGGCATACTGCACTGCCCGACGGATCGCACTAAGACGTATATAGGCTGGGACGCCCTTGGCCTGGATTGATATAACAGGAGGTGTGGTTGGATAGTGGGCGGAGGGCTTTTGGAAGCGGAAAATCGTGTTTTGTGGAATATCCGATGCCTCGCTGTTGATCTCGCAGATCCTGGCTGATATGCGGTGATAACGTTCCCCGAAGATAGCCTCTAACGTAGTCGCTTCTTCTGCCCAAGCTTCCTCGTCTTCGTCGGCTACTGACGGGGCCGAGAATTGAGTTCCATGGGTCAAAGTGCCTTGCAGATGCTCAGCAGCGGCCAATTCGTCGCCGTGCTTCCTGTCCAAAATTTGAGAGCACATGTCGGCTGGATAGCCAACAGATGCCAGCCGTTTGACTTTGCCCTCACGGGCGAGATCACCAGAACCAAGACTGACTCCAGCCGAATATCCTTCCGGCAGAGACCATCGTGGGAGGTCATCATCAGGAACATAGATGAGAAGCCACTCCAAGACCTCTTCGCGGTCTTTGCATTCCGCTGTAGCTTCTTCCACATGGCTGCGACGAAACCCTAGACCGGTGAATTCGTCCGCGATGGTTTTCTTTTCGGTTTCCGGGATCTTCACGCCATATGGGTTCCAAACTGTATGTTGCCGCAAAAGGCCTTCGATATCTCGTCGAATCCGTGTGCCCATATCCACCTTGGGCGCTTGTGACCAGATACGTTTACTCCTGGCATCCCCATTTCCTAGTCCTAATTCCGCATTTGAGGCCTTCTCCTTTGCCTGGGCTCTTTCACGATCCGCTCGCTTCTTTGCCAAATCGGCGGCCGCGCTCTCTCTCTCTTGCTTGGCTAAGAATGGATCTGCCTCGTACATCCAGCCCTTGCCTTCCCGAGTTTCTGCTGCTTTAATTTCTCCAAAGTCCTCCTTCCACAATTTCTTATAAGTTGGAGGCATCATCATATGAATATTGCGCATATTGCACACTCGGAACAGAGCAAACGCTGCAGCGAAATGGCGCGCTTCGAGGGCTGTCGGCTGCCCAGCAAGTTGCTTATGGGAGGGAGGGAGCTTTATCGGTGGGATCACGATTAATTCCTTGGTCTTGGGATCTATTTTCTTCATTGTGACGGATGATACAAAGCCGTCGGCAGTTTTGATCTGCAATTGTCGCAACCTATCAGCATCTGGTTTGATATATGTGTTTGTAAACAGGCGACGAGTGCCATGGGAAGTTGATTACCATGTTGTACTCAGGTTTTTCCCACTTTTGCTTTTGACAGTGCTCTGCCAACATATTGACCGGTAGCTTCCCTGTCCATGATGCGCCGCCAATGACATCCTTCACGGATGGTTTCTTGGGCTCCTCCGGCACTTGCTTCTTCACTTCGCCGGCCGCTTTCTCTGCCACAGCTTTGGCTTGTTTTGTACCCGGCTTGGGGCCACCTTTACCATCGCCTTTCTTCTTAGGTGGCATTTTGTGCGTGGTGAGTGTTTGCGCGAAAGATAATTTTTGGAGCTTCAAGCAAAAGAGCGACCCGCACTAAACCGCTTTGGGATTGCGGGGAGCATACGGAAGAGCGCAGCGACCATGGGAGACTTAACTCCCAACACATGTCTTGTACTCTTACTACTCGGTCTACCGATGTGAGATTTGGATTTGTTGCTCAAAGGCAATGCTGTAGCTAACATATATTGTGTGACCACGAGTCAAACTTCCACACCAACCATGTCCGGGGACCACTCCAATCCGACCAAAGCTGACCCAAAGAAGCAAACTGGGACGTCAGAAAAGAGGAATGCCTGTAAAGACCGAGAGACGTATCACTGAAAAATACTTGACTGACATATCGGTTTGACAGTTACCGAACTCCTGGCTCCTAAAAGCAAGCAATCCAAACACGCGACTAAAACCCCGTCTGATCGCAATGCGGCCAAGGGCAGGACTGCATTTGGTGTTCGCGATGGACTAGGCACCTACATCACAAAGCCTGAGAAATATGCTCCCGATGTCGTGGTCTACCACAATGACGATTTTGTGGCGATCCACGACATGTTCCCAAAGTCATCGTTGCACCTCCTCCTTCTCCCCCGCGACCAGACCAAAACACGAATGCACCCATTTGATGCATTTGAGGATGCCGACTTCCTAGCAAAAGTGAGGGCCGAAACTCGAACACTTCGCAAGCTGGCAGCGAGCGAGCTGCGACGCAAATATGGGAAGGACTCTGCGCAGGAGCAGGCGAGACAGACGGCACTGAGCGCCGATCCGCCGCCCGACGAGCTACCGCGGGGTCGGGACTGGGAACAGGAGATTATGGTTGGGGTGCATGCAGTTCCATCTATGAACCACTTGCATGTCCATGTATTATCGGTGGATAGGTATAGCGAGCGCTTGAAGCACCGGAAACACTACAATAGCTTTTCGACACCATTCTTCGTGCCAATCGAGGACTTCCCGCTGGCGGAAGATGATGTGCGACGGAATCCGACGGAAGAGGAGTACCTAAAACGAGACTTTGCTTGCTGGCGCTGTGGTAGGGGGTTTGGGAATCGGTTTGCGGAATTGAAGCAACATCTGGAGGGGGAATTTAAAGAATGGAAGAAACTGTGAGATACCAGTACTGCCAAAACAGGCACAGCGTGGTATACAATGGATTGAACTCTCCAAAAGTGATCCTGTTTGGCGTCCGTGGAAGCTAAACTGGGCCAAAATCTTCTATTTGGTAGATATACATGTCCTTTGTGACAAGCAGCAGGGTGCATTTGCAGCACCGTGGCTAATGCCGCCCTCACACTAGACAAAACCCCCGACAATGGTACACATTGAAAAGGATTGTTTCCTTCCTCCATTCGTGATATGACTGTCGTGAGTATATTCACGCACGGGCCTTCGAGCGACCCTTGACTTTGCGGGCCTCGGGGCGGTTGATGTGGTGAGAGGGAATCCAATCAGCATTGTAGGCGCTGGTAGAAGAAACTGCAGCGCCGGTGGAAGTCTCCTCCGTGACTGGGGTCTCAGCGCGCTTTGAGCCACCCTGTGTGCGCTTCTCGCTGGTCTTTGCGGACTTGCGCTTCTGGGGGAAGTAGGGAGCGACCCAAACGGTATAGAAGAAGTAACCAGTGCCAGAGACACAGGCCAGTAGGAAGAAATAAAGGAAAATGCTGATTGTAATTGTTAGCCTCGTTGCTCTCACACCAAGGGTAAAGGGGGGTGTCCTACATCTGGGGGTCGAAGATGCTGGTATCCGCCTCCACGATGCTAACGGTGCCATTGTGGGCAACGATAGGAACCAAGCGGCCCTCACTGTCTGAAATGATGGCAGAAAGTGTCATCTGGAGATCCTGGGGGTGCATCTCAGTGGCGAAGCTGTAGCTGATTGTCTCCTTCTCGCCAGCGGGAATCTCAATGGCATAACGAGTAGCAGTCAAGTTGCGGACAACTTGCGCCTGGTCTTCAGCGTTTCGAAGGCTACCCCCGACAAAGTTCACCGTGATAGGATTCGGCTCATCGTTGGAGATGGCGATCAGCGCCTGGGTAGGGTGACCGTTGACAAGCTTGATACCGAAGATCTCGGAAGCAGGGAAAGAGGCGTGTGCTGAGACAGCCAGAGTGGGAGCCTCTGCTTCAGCATTCTCAGTATCCTGAAAGTTCAACCCCAAACAATTAGTCAATTGAGTCATGCGACATGGTTCCCGAAGCAAATCAAGACGAAACACATACAGCAGCAAAGCCGGTGCCAATGAAGGCCTGGAGAGAGAGTAGAGCCAAAGAGAGGAAACCAAAGCGAGTCATCTTGAAACCGGAAGAGAGAAAAGAAAGAGAAAGAGAAGAGATAAACAGGGGAAAGGTCAAAGTCAAGATCAGGTGAAGGGGAATATTTGGCTCCACGTATGCAAAACCGGGGGCTGACTCAGCCAGATGGCACCCGCGGTCTTAGATTGATTTTTTATTTGAAGCAAAGACGACGGACTATAAATTTCTCTCTCTATATCAATTAATTTAATAAAGTGAGGTGGCCACTGATAATTGGTGATTACCGCTGATTCTAACACTTTACGCGCTTTGTAGATTGTCACCTCCTGCAAGCGCCTGCCCACTGGAATTTCCCTGTTGGCTTTGATCAGACTTGAAACTTGCTTCTCTCCCTTCCTTTACTTTCTTCCTTATCTTTTGTCGCATTCATCCTTTTCGCAATTCCAACCATTTCCAGATCTGCAAACGATACTCATCAATCTACAAAAATGGCGACTCAAGCTTATTTAGAGCGCTATCGTCAGCTAAGCGCTCTGGACCAGCAGAAGAATGACTTCATTGAGGTACCAACCAATTCCTCCATTGGTCCCCTATTCACTCTAACAAGACTCGCGATAGGAACTTCTTCAACGTGTGACCACCCTAGAGAATTCCTTTCAACAAGAGAAACTCGACCATGAACGCGAAACCCGGTTCAATCGTGAGGTTCAGGTGCATGAAATGGAGCTGATGGACCAGATATCAGTTGTCAAGAAAATGATGGTGAGCACAGCTGTGGACGCCTTGTCTAAGCTCAGGCTGACACATATTTTGTTTCCTTCTAGGACCGTGAACCATTCGTCGTGTTGCTTTTAGACGGCGAAGGAATAATATTCAAAGATGAATTTCTGCAACTAGGGGAACAGGGTGGACGCAATGCGGCCAAGCAGCTCTGGAAATCTCTCCAGAGCTACGTTACAACAATTCTTTCCACGATCACCGAGCCGAAGATAATGACCAAGATCTATCTTAATGTGAAGGGACTTATGGAGACTTACATCCGGGGCGGAATCGCCCTAGAGGCCTCCACAATCAATGAGTTTATTCGTGGATTCAATGAGAGTGCATCGTTCTTCGAAATTGTGGACGTTGGAACTGGCAAAAACAAAGCGCACGATAAAATCAAGGGTATGTGGTACAACCTGACATAAAGATACCATTGCTGATTCTCTTCCTCCAGAGGCTTTTAAGCTTTACTTATACAACTGCCATTGCCACCAGCTCTTCTTGGGCTGTCCCTCCAATGAAGAATATGCTCGGTCATTGACAGAACTCATTTCTGGCGCGAATTATAAGGGCCGAGTCTCGCTGGTTGAGGGTCTTCCACTCGAGAAGGAATTTGATTATTTCCGAGAGCAGGACTATCGCATCACCCAGTTCCCGGATGTTTTCCGCACCACAAAGATTGCTCCAATTACATTGACCGCACCGAGTGTACCGAGTGCAACGAGTGCACCGTCTTGGGCTGCTCCTTGGAAAAGCGCAATCCCTTCGCGGACTTTGCTCACACCATCGCCGACCCAGCAATTCCAAACACCTGCTTTGTCACGAACCTCTACCAGTACCAGTGTGTCAAATTTGGGTGCTCCATTGGCCTCGATGACAAATAAACCCGAGTCTTCTGATTTCCAGGTCGTTCGGTCCAAGGTGCCTGGTGCATCCCCCCCAAAGACCGTGGAACGGAATAAATATGGCCAGCGTGTTGATCGGCTCGACTTCAAGAGCATTCCTCGCGATGATCTTAACAAACTGAAGAAGCTCAAGCTTTGCAATTATCATTTCTTGCTCGGTGAATGTCCTAATGAAGAGAATTGCTATCATGACCATGATCGCAAATTGTCACGCCAAGATCTGCACATCTTGTCAGCCATTGCCCGCATGACACCTTGTCGCTTTGGTCTAGAATGTGATGACGTCGAGTGTATCTATGGTCATCGTTGTCCTCAGAGCGAACCTGGTAAAAAGACTTGCTTCCGAGGCGACAGCTGCCGCTTTGAGCCCGTGGCGCATGGCATCGACACGAACATCGTCAAAGTTACGAAAATTTGAGCGGCCATCTCGCAATCTTATGCTCATCTCAGCCGATCTGAACCTTTCTTGAAACAAGGTCCTAAAATATTGTCTATTGAGTTCAGTGTGAGTTTCACGGGGAAAAGGTTCAAAAGAAGCATCCATGACATTATCAGAATTTCGATCATTCGGGAGTTATGGACGGTGCATGGGAGCAGGCTTGCTATACAGGCATTGAGAATTCAACGTTGTTTTTTTCTTCCTTTCTATGCGGGTGAAAAAAAAAGGTTCCAGGCGCAACCATCTATTGATTAAAAATGTTAAATTGTATTAGTACAAAGGATCAATCCATACAAGCTTTATTTAGGGATACATTTTTTTTCCACAAGACCTGGGGATTGTAGAATTCATGTGTGGATAGTCGTGCCGAACATGGCAAATCGTCTCTCCCATCCAAAACAATCAGGATAGGTGCACACCTCGCCGTCGACATCCATCACATTGGGGTCTTTGGCATGGGTGCAGTGAACACCATATTCCTTGATGCAGCACTCGAATGGGCACGACTTCACTGGCCCCCAACTCTGTTGACCAGAAGCTATGGCTTTCGACTTCTCCTCCTCGAGATTGCCCCATAAGAGGAAAAGCTTCTCTTTTATCGCTTCCAGTCTCCGTGGATTGTCGCGGAGGTTGAATGCATAATCGTCAAGAAGAAAATCACCATCTTGCCCGCACACATAGAGCTTCATCATTCCTCGGGGCTGTTGTTTGGGAGGTTTGGGCTCAACCCCCTCCACAAGAAGGCAAAACCGCCATTCCCAGCCAAGTTGAGACTCCGTGGCACTTTCCTGATTGCCGAACAAGGGAGCGTTGGTCGTTTGAACCGTAAAGTCTTCTATCTTTGGGGGGAAAAAGTCAACTACCCGGACCTGAGAGTGATAATTGACGTTTTGGAAGGGAAGCTTATAGACAATGCCCCCCGGAGCATTGTTTGTATGAGTCTCCGCCAATAAGATCTTCTCCAGAGGGAAAGTAGGCACTGTGTAATTTTTTGTTTTGACTAAACATTTATCAGCCAATATGCTTCTCTTAGGAACACAATCAACTCACCATGTTGATTCAACTTGATTCGTGATGCTGCTGGCATGGTCAGTTGGCCTTCTTCTTTCCGGGCCTCCCTTTTCTGCTCGACTCTCTTGTTCTTTTTCTTGGCCTTTTTGGTATCTGCCTTGGGTTCACCGTGGATCTTCCAGTATTCTGTCCGGCGGTTCATCAATTCTCGTACACGCTCATCATTGCTACCATTCATCTTCCTGACATGAATCTTCTCCGGGAATAGTTTGTCTTCATGAACGACAGCTTCCAATCCACCACGGCGTTCCTTGATATGGACATAGGTTAATAGAACGATGTCACCTGGCTTGAGGTGTTCTCGAGCATAGCTGGCATGCGGCTCCCATAAAGTCACTCGGATGGTAAATTTACCCCATGGGCCTGACCAGTTCTTTGTCTTCTGTATGTAATTAAATCGGTCGCCCTCAGGACCTGATTCATCGTCACCTTCTCCGGGTTTTTTGTAGTTGGCAAGCCCCTCATTCTCAGTGAAATCAGTCAAGTCCAGCATACATTTTTCACTGTCATAAGTCTTGAGGTTCACAACTTGGCCAAGTAACTGGCAAAGTTGGCGAACCGTCGCAAACTGAATAGGGATATACGGTAGGCCTCCAGATTTTGCGGCTGGAACGGAAGCCTGAACATGAGAAGACTGCTGAAAGGCGGGTATACTGTGCGGGGTGGGTTGTTGCACAGGGATTGCTTCGGCAAATACACTATCCAGGAGCGAGTGTGCCTGATCCTTTTCCTTCAGACTCGGCTCGAAAGGAATGGGACCGCTGGTAATGAACGGACTGGAACTCGAGCTTGGCTCTGGTCGGAAAATAGCCCATGACACATGGGATCTCTGAGAAACAAACCCTGTTGGTTTGTTCTGGTAAATTTGCACCTGAATCCTGTCAGCTTACCATGCTGCTGCACTCATGTAAATAAACTCACCAGGAGGTTTCGTAATAGGATTACATCTTTGAGCTCGACATTAGGAAGATAACTCTCATCATCATTGAAATATCTGACTTTAAGACCACCTTGCCAGCCTGGTGCATCAAAATTGGAGTCTTTTATCGTGAAGGTGATGCATGCCGACGAGCCTCTGGTCCGAAAGAGTGGTAGCTTGTCAATTACCACACCTATGACATTGAAAGTCCCTTGTGAAGAGCAAGCAGTGGTAATGTCCACTAGATCACCTGAAGCCATATCTTTTGTCGATGGGATGTCCTGCAAGCTCCCGGTGAGATATCACAAACTAGCTCAGAAAAAAATGCACGTTTCTGTCAATGCACATCCGTCATAACTAGAGCAATTGTCATAAATAAGCACCAAAATAAGTGGAATTCTAAGAGCTCAGGGAGGACGAGCTTATTGTCGTGGGAGTACGTCGAATGAGTAATCACGTGATAGCATCGTTTCCCCTCCCACAGAAGTCTTCTTCCCCCACATCAGATCCCTCTTCCTTCTTCCTACTCTCCGTCCATCTCCCCGCGCGCCCACTCAACCTCACATACTACATAATCGATCACCGCGGCGCGCTTAGTTTTTCCTGTTTCCATTTTCATCATGGCGGAACGCTATATTCCCGAGCATCGCCGCACACAGTTCAAGGCCAAGAACCAGTTCAAGCCCGATGAGCTCCGCCGCCGCCGTGAAGAACAGCAGGTCGAGATTCGCAAGGCTAAGCGTGATGAGAACTTAGCCAAGAGACGTGGTATCCAAACTCAGGACGGTAGAATCGGTGTTGGTGGCATGGCTGCCGCCACTGAGAGTGATGATGAGGCCAGTGCTATTGAGAGTGAGGTAGGTCTTTCAATTTTTCTTTGATCCTTTGAAATCTGTTCTATTCTATATCCTCCTTTGGATTTCTACGGGCTCATGGTGTGGTCACCACCTTTATGGGCCCTGAGTGAATTCTTTGTTTTCATGATGCGATCATCAACAAGGATTTTTTTTCACCGCCCTGTTGCCATGGCCCACGAAGACCCCTCTGACTTGACCCCACTGCAATAAAAAAAAAACATCGTGAAAATTACCAAGCTAACATAATGATTTATTCAGCTCAACGTCGAGCTTCCCCAGATGGTGAAGGGAGTTTTCTCAGATCAGGTTGAGGAACAGATCCAGGCCACCACCAAGTTCCGCAAATTGCTTTCCAAGGAGCGCAACCCCCCTATCGAGCGTGTTATTGAGACCGGTGTCGTAGCCCGTTTCGTCGAGTTCCTTCGCTCACCCCACACCCTGGTTCAGTTTGAGTCTGCCTGGGCTTTGACCAACATTGCTTCCGGTTCCGCCCAGCAGACCCAGGTCGTCATTGAAGCTGGTGCCGTCCCCATCTTCGTCGAGTTGCTTAGCAGCCCTGAGCCCGATGTTCGTGAACAGGCCGTTTGGGCCCTCGGAAACATTGCTGGTGACAGCCCTCACTGCCGTGACTTTGTCCTCGGTGCCGGTGCCCTGCGCCCGCTTCTTAACCTCATCAACGATGGCCGCAAGCTGAGCATGCTCCGCAACGCTACTTGGACTCTTAGCAACTTCTGCCGTGGCAAGACTCCCCAGCCTGACTGGAACACTATTGCCCCCGCCCTTCCAGTCCTTGCCAAGCTCATCTACATGCTGGATGACGAGGTCCTGATTGACGCTTGCTGGGCTATCTCTTACTTGTCCGATGGTGCCAACGACAAGATTCAGGCCGTTATCGAGGCCGGTATCCCCCGTCGCCTGGTGGAGCTCCTTATGCACGCCTCTACCTCTGTCCAGACTCCCGCTCTCCGTTCCGTGGGTAACATTGTCACTGGTGATGACGTCCAGACCCAGGTGATCATTAACTGTGGCTCTCTTCCTGCTCTGCTCTCCCTCCTGAGCTCCACCAAGGATGGTATCCGCAAGGAAGCTTGCTGGACCATCTCCAACGTCACTGCCGGTAACTCCAGCCAGATTCAGGCGGTCATCGACGCTGGCATCATTGCTCCCCTTATCAACCTTCTTGCCAATGGTGACTTCAAGACCCGCAAGGAGGCTTGCTGGGCTATCTCTAACGCTACTTCCGGTGGTCTCCAGAAGCCCGATCAGATCCGCTACCTTGTTTCTCAAGGCTGCATCAAACCCCTGTGCGATCTCCTGGCCTGCCCTGACAATAAGATCATCCAGGTCGCTCTCGACGGTCTCGAGAACATCCTCAAGGTCGGAGATATGGACAAGGAGGCTGGCCAGCCCGGTGAGGCTCGTGTCAACCGCTACGCTCTCTTCATCGAAGAGGCCGGTGGCATGGAGAAGATTCACGATTGCCAGAACAACGCCAACGAGGAGATCTACATGAAGGCCTACAACATTATCGAGAAGTACTTCTCTGACGAGGATGAGGCCGGTGGCGATATCGAGGAACTTGCTCCCCAACAGACCCAGACTGGATTTGCTCTCGGCACTGGCCAGCAGCAACCTGGTGGCTTCAACTTCGGCAACGGCGGTGATACCATGGATATGTAAAGACTTGTCTTTTCCTCGTGCACTATGCCAATCCTTGTATCTTCATCTTCTTTCAAACCCAAACGTCGAAGCTGCGTCCAGCGTATCCTCGCATGGGTCGGGCACCACTGGCTACCGAGAGGCCAGGTTGCTCGCATACAGCCTCGACGCCTCTCGTGCGCTTCGACCAAGCTACTTCTCGGTCTGGCGTTGCGTCTAAACAGTTTATGGTGCTCATTTGATTCCCTCATCTTCTCTTGTCACGAATTTCACTTCCCCCCTTCTTTTTTTTTTTTTTTTTGATTTCACGATAAACAAGATTCACCATCATGTATCCCCTCCCCCACCCCTTTAGCATCCTCATACACAGGCGCATTTGTTTGCAGGATCGGTTTTCTCTCTCCAGTTACGTTAATGTCCTCTGACTATGGTGTTCCTTGACGGGGCATTGGTCTCCTGCGCGGGCACGTCCTCGCTTGCTGACAACAGGGCTGTGGCAGCACATCTTGCTCGTACCACGCTCATAATCTGCTCGAATCATGCCTCTGAAAATGCTATTGCACTATTCTCGTGGTACGCTTTGCAATTCGCCAGGAAAAAATGCCAGATTTCACTTGACCTACCTTTTCTTCCTGTAGTCGTAATTGTATCCCAGGATATTCCTATCTTCCCCAGACAACTTATCTTCGTATTTTATGCTCTCGGGAGGAGACGAACTGATGCTAGACTTGCAAGCCTTCAATGTTAGAATACGAAGCCCTCAGGCAGTGAAAATAATGTACAATCAGAGTCTAAATGTACCAATGATAGCAACAGACTTAGTTACATCCATTTTACTATACCACAATTCCATATCAAGATTTCAAAAAATAGCAGAGACCAGAGGGGAATAGATTGAGATCAAGTCAGCAAAGTAGCAGCAAAGTAAAGATCAGGGGAAGTGTATAAGATACAGGTTGAAAATAACTCCATATCCACGCAAACGAGAGCAAAGAAGAGAGGTACAGTCAATTCAGCCATAATCCATAAAAGAGAGAGAGAAGAAAGTAGAGAGAGCGAAAAAAAAGTAACAAGAAAAAAAAGTAACAAGCAATGAACGACAGCGAAGAAATATCATTTTGTTCAGGCACACATTAACGTCAAATAAGACAGACCAGATCAGTCACCCATCACCTCATCCTCATCGGCCTCAGGCGTGGGACCAAGTTCCTCGTCCTCGTGCCCATTCTCATGTTCAACATCATCCTCGACAAGTCCGCGCGCACGCAGGTCCTCATCTTCATCTTCCTCAACAGGCTCAGGATGGTCGTGCTCATCGTCATCATCAATATGCTCAGCAGACTTGAAGCCCTTGGCAGGAGAAGCAGCAGACTTGGCAGGCTTTTTCCCCTTGGCGCGGGGCGTACTGCGGGGCTTACGCTCTTCCAAATAAGATAGGACCTCTCGGTAATTGTGGCCGAGGGCGGTCTTATGACGAAGGAGACGCTTCTTCAGGGCGCCGCGCTTAGAGCCGGAGGCGTCGATGATGCGGGCGATGATGGCGAGGACGAGCTTGCCTGTTAGCTCGCAGAGGCGCTGTTCGGCTACAATGCTACTGCGGAGGCGGTCGTTGATGACTACTTCGTCTTCGGAGTCGCTGGCTTCATCTTCGGAGTCGAGCTCGTCTTCCGAGGCTGGGGCGTCGTCGTCTGCGGGCTCGATATTGAGCCTTGATTTCTTGGCGGATGTGCGCTCAGCTATTCCGTGGATCTTGGTGATGAGGGCTTGGGTGTCGGGTTCGATTTCATGGACTAGGCCTTGTGTTTGAAACAGGACGTCTTCGTCATTGCCGTTGGCTTGGCCGATGTTCCGGAGAGTGCTGAAGAGCGTCTGTAGGTCTAGGTATGTTGTAGTTGCTGTGAAGCGAAGGTCATCCAGCCCAGGGCGCGTTTCCATGATGTTGACGAGCAATATAGCGAACGTTTCGCGGCTCTTTGTCAGTGCTTCGAAGTAGGATGTGCTGAAGGAGGCCTTTCCATCGTTCAAGGCTGTGGACAGTGCCTGCACCTTCCACATGAAATAGAAAAGCAACGACCGGATACTGCTTGAGACCAGTTCGTTCTCTGCCTTAGCGGTATCCTCATCGTCATCTTCGATGCGCAGACCACGTTCGGCAAGATGAATGAGGGTGTTGAATGGGGCTTCATTGTGGTCTTTCTTGGATTGCGATCTTGAATTAGGGACAGTTTCGAGAATGGAGGCACAATCGGTGATACCGGCGAGGTTCGAAATTCGAGAGACAGTGTTGGTCAGGTTGGTGAGAGTGGGATCAGATATTGAGCCACCTTCCTGGACCTCCTTCTTCCGAGACAAGGCAGCCAGTGCCTCTACCATATCATCCCACAGCTCTTGAACCTTGCTCTCTAGCGCCTCTCGCATCTCCTCGGAGCTCTTGGCATGCAAGAAAGCCACACTAGCTTCGGCCAGAACATCTTGATCCGAATGAGTCAAAAACTGCTTGTTGATATCGCTGAGCAGCGAGGTATAAGCCGTAGCGTCTTTTTGGAGATCCTGGATTGTGTTCAGGTCCACAAGGTGTTCTAGTCGCAGAACGACAGAAGCAGCTTCCGGTGTGGATCCAAACTTATTGAGAAGCCCAGGGATGATCTGCGCAAGGTTGTGAGAAAGTTCCTCCTGGAGCTCGGAAATCTTGGCCTCTAGAGCCTTCGTCTTGCGCCCACGCTTGTCGGTATCAGACTTGGCGATGTCGAGAACACGGAGTTTGACTGCGGCACAGAGTACTTCCAGAAGAATAGATTCTTGTCCCTCTTCCATTCTGTACATTTTCTTTACGGCTCCTGCGGTATCATCTTCAGATGGCGCATCGGTGATTTGAGAGTGGTCATAAAGCAGATAACCAGCCAGCGATGGCCACTGAGACAGTTCTTCCAGGTAGGGATAGACAGCCTCAGTCGCGAGAGCAAAGCGCGACTCTACGGCCGCACCTAGCAGTGTGTCGCGAGACAATGGCTCTGGTTGCTGTTCGGCTTGTTGGTCGTCGTAGGCCTGAAACAGCTCGGCGAGGCATTTAAACTTGATCCAGGAGTGCTTAGGCGACTCATAGTCGTCTTCGTCGTCGTCAGCCAGCAATTCGGCGATCTCCTCTCCCACTTCATCGGTGATTGACTCGTATGCATCTTGAACGTTGGCAACAAAAAAGCGTCCAGCTGTTTTCCGAATTCGGGTGTCCAAATCAAACACCAGTCGACCGACAGCATCAATATCATTTGGCTCGAGTAAGCCGGCTTCGCGAAGGTGGTTAAGTAACTCAATCGCAGCCACACGCACCGAAACATCAGCATCTTGAATAGCCATCTCCACAATCCGTTGCCGAAACCGCTCAGTGAATGAGTGCAAACCAGCAAGGTTGTCACGGTTCTCATAAAGGCTTAAAAGCTCGGTTAAGGCAACGAGTCTGGTCTGCGCAATGACATCGGCGAGGGTCCACCCTAGGTATCGTAAATACTGGCCCTCAAAGAAGATTTCTCGGTATGTGCGAATCCATCCGCCTAGAGCTGTCAGACACTCGGCACGGATCTGACCGTCAATATCCCGGTAGCGATGGACAAATACAGTATCGAACCCATCCTGTAGGAACTCGTCTAAGCGCTCCACCTTCTGTTCGCCCTCTGAAACAGCCCTTTGAATTGCTTCCACGCGACCCTTGTTTACCGTCTTCTTTTTCTTCTCACTTTCAAGTTGTTTCCTGGATGTAGATACGGTTGTCGTCACCTCTCGCGCAATATCACATAATGCGTTCATGATTGAAAGGGAGATTAATGTCGCCGTATGCCGGAATGGTCGGCATTTTGATGTTGACATGGAAGAGATCCAGATCTGAATATTCTCGAGCAGGGTGTCATCGGTGTACAAGATGGAAGAGGCATGGAAGGTTTGGATCAGTGCCATAGTGAATTCCTCGAGGAGAACCGAGAACGCTCTGAACTTCTTCGCTTTGGAGATGATAGGGTATTCGGTGATGCCTTCTGCTTGGTAAAGGTTCTGCAAGTCTTCGATTCGGCCCGGGGCATTATCAATGTCTTCCACCTCATTATTGTCGATCTCAAGATCGGTACCCGTGCATCGTAGGATGAAGTTGACGAGGTCCCGCATGGCCTGCCCATTGTCGCGCTGGTATTGAGATAACCACTGAGCGGCCACTGTATCGGCATTGCTACCTTTCCCAAATACCTCGGCTAACTCTGGTATTAGCCATTGATATTGCATACACAAATAATTATGACTCACCGAACAATCCGCGTTCACCCGCCGCGAGACTCGGTCGTACTTTCGGTTTCCGAGAACGAGCAGCAGGCAGTCGGCCATTGGTGGCTGGTCGGAAGGCGAGCTGTCTCCCTAACCCGTTACTTGCAACCTTGGGTTTCTTTGAAGCGTGCGATCCCTTGGTCTTGGGTTTGGATTTGGATTTCTTCGCGCTAGCTCGGCGTGCAGCGCGTCGCTTCTCTTTCAGTTCTTCCTCATCGGTCTCGTCGTCAATATCATCACTGTCGGACTCGGACGCGTCCTCATCGCCGTCCTCGCGCGCCTCGCCCCGTTTGCGCTTCCCACCGGCAGCTTGTTCGTCGGCAGAGTGTGTAGTCTGCGAAAATACTTCGGGCCGTCGCGTCTGCCGACCGGATTTGCGTCGGTCTTCGGCGGGGGTCGATGACGGGCCACCGGGGCTTGATAGAGGTGGGTTATCGATATCCATGATATCGGATGAGTGTATTATACGGGTATGCGATCGGATAGATGGGTCTGCTGAGCAGATCAATGGCTTTGAACAGAGTTGGCAGATGTCGCTACAGATCAGGTCGGGACGCGCGCTCGTGCAACGCGCAGGTCTGGTACAGCAAACAGAAGTTGGCGCAAGATATGAAAGAAGTCTGCAATTCGAGACGTCAAGTATTTGCGACACGCGCTCTAACCGTGTTGAGACAAGGTCAATCAAACGGAAGTACTTGGGCAGAAAACGGTCCGGATCTCAGCGTGGGGGGAGACGCGACATCGTGCCTTGGGGCCTGGGGGTGCCTAGATTACGTAACTACGTAGGGGTTTGATGTCTTGTATATCAGGTGTCTATTCTGTATAGTTCACTAGTCAACTAAACGTTCTTCTCCCTAGCTGCGGGGTTTAGCGCTGTCAACGCCTTGTTCAAGCTCGATCTTAGTCTCTAGCCAGGAACATTCGGTTCCGTCCAGAAATGAGAATAGCCATGAGCCCTCCCTGGGATAGGCCCTAGCCGAAGTAGTTTAAGTGAGTGTGTAGCTAGTTTTAGGGGTGTGTGTATAGCAATTCTCATCGACAATTGCATCACAAAATTGACCCCCTAATATAATAGAAAGCATATGGCTGATTTACCATAGCTACACTGTATCTCATGACTTCTTTTCAATGCCCAGACTGCCAGGCTATAATAGTTAAACAAGTTGTGCAGATCACCTGGGCAAATGACATAAAAGTACATTGCCAAGAGGTAACCCTCCAGGTCTAGGGAGATACTCTTTGTCATAGAAACCTCAACCATTCATTCTCTGCCAGTTATTTTATGTCCTAGTTCTGCTCCGGCATCCTCATCAGGGAGCCAAGGAGAGGTCATTTGGGAATATCCCCCGCTTGACAAGTGGATGCCTATGACTAAGGAATCGTCATTTCCCCAGGGTTTTGTTTTTATACCAACTCATCCCCTCTGATCTGTGATAGCATGGCCTGGCTTCATTGCTCAATATAGCTTTTTCTATTTCTGCCTATAGACCTACTAGCTACACTTCTTGTCTCTCCGCCTTCTCAACCTATCACATCCATCACCATGCGAAAACCAGCAATGCCCATTCCCTCGCCCTTTCAGTCTTCCATTGCGAAGCCAGGGCAGGGCAAGGTCGTCCTCTCCCTCCTCCCACCGAACAATCCCACCCTCACAACCCTCACCTACAAATATCCATTGAAGCTAGTCCCGCGCACCGGCGGCTTCGTCCCATCCCCAGATTCTTCTGCCCTCTCAGACACATGTCCCTCCAACCCCGTCCACCTATACCTCCTCACCTATGGCGGCGGGCTCCTGCCAGGTGACCACATCGAAGTGTCCATTACGCTCGAACCCAGGACACGAATGGTGGTAACAACGCCACAAGGCAGCACCAAGATCTTCAAAACAACCCCAAATAACAACGGCACATCCCCAAATGTAATCAAAGGCCACCGCGATCAAATGCCCGCAAACAAATCTCTCTCCGACATGAGCCAGCAAACACTCGACGTCAACATTGGCCGCCAAGCAGCCCTCTGCTACCTCCCAGACCCTTCCGTCCCCTTCAAACACAGCCGCTACGCTCAAGTTCAAACCTTCACCGTAGACGCCACCGCAAAAGGCGCCGAGCGTAGCAGCCTCTGCGTCCTAGATTGGGTAACGCAAGGCCGGACCTCGCGCGGCGAGGACTGGGACTTCCACTTCTGGCGCGGACGCAACGAAGTCTGGGCCGAAGACGACAAGGGCAAACGCCGACTACTCCTCCGCGACTCGGTAATTCTCGACGATGAATCCGAGGACCTACAAGACACATCCATACCCGACGGACTCGAAGTCGAAAAGAAAGATAAAACCTACAGCACCACCACCCATGCCGGTCTAGAAAACCCCGTCGATCTGCCACCGCAGGCGCCAGTCGGCTTAACCCCGCTGAATATCATCGCGGAGCGCACGCGCCCACACGGCGTCGTCGGCACGCTTATACTCTCCGGTCCTGTATTCGAAGCGCTCGGTTCGTTCATGTTGAAACAATTCCAGTCGCAGCCGCGCATTGGTAGTCGCAATTGGTCGGACCATGCACCGTCGTCGGTGCCTGAGCCTTCGCTGAGCTTTAAGGGCAATGTCACATGGACGGCGGCGCGGGTGCGCGCTGGCTTTGTGCTTGTCAAGTTCGGTGCCAAGGATTTTGAGACTGCGAAGCACTGGCTTGGTGGCCTGATTCGGGAAGAGGGTAGTGTTATCCGCGAGTTCGGTGAAGAGGCGCTCTGCTGTTTATGAGATATGACATCCCGCGGATAGCTACGTTTGGTGTGGTTTATCGGTGTTAGGGGGGCTGTCGCTGGTCGAGAGCCACTACATGGTCTTTGGTGAATGTATGCCATTTTCACCTGATTTTACTGCATAAATTATGGCGTCAAGTGGAGATCGACAATCAAGGGCATTGGGGAACACATTCCAGATCGGAGTATAGCATTACTGCTCCTGCACTGGGTGCAACAGAGACCGAAATTATGATTGTGACGAATTTGAACCGAAGCGTTGTTTTCACCAGGGCACTGTTGTCTTTTCCGTCTCTTGCCAGATTAGTTACAGCATCAGTATCAGTACAGTATCCCGAAAGCTGCGTATACATTTCGATATTGGATGTATAGATGTGAAGCAAGTGGTCTATCAAACAAAATAAAGCAACACAGCCAAAGAAAAGGTAAGGTATCGTAAATCAGATAAGAAACCCTTAACGCCAGGCAATCCAGCCCATGATCCCATATTTCATCAAATCCCATATTTCATCATAAGTAAAAGCGAGAAGAAAACAAGAAGAAAGATACCCAATATATAGCAATGCATAGCCATCACGGCCACCAGTCGAAGACCCTCGTATTCCAAACCCCCTTCGTGGCATCAACCAAATCATCAACATTCAGAATATCTACACCCTCCTGCGCAAGCACGCGCCAGATATGATTCCGCAGACTGCGAGGCCAGCTCGGCAACGCCCAGTAGCGCACTTTCAGGCCATGTTGGTGTGCAATGCGCACTTGGCTGCGGATGAGGTCCATCTGGCGCTGCGTGAAGTGGAAGGGCCATGGGTAGCCGATTGCCTTTTTGAAAGACACAGAGGCATAGAAGCTGTTCGAAGTGTTGAAGGTGGACGCGGTGATTACAGCCGGCATACCAGATTGGCCTTGGCCAAGATCTGTGCCAAGATCTGTGCGCGGGAAGAGGGCTGCGTCTGGGATGCTGCTGTCTGGCTGGTCCGTGCCGACGAGTTTATCGAGCGGGGCGTCGAAGAAGATATCGCGATAGGTGGTGTTTTCGGTGACGAGGTTGAAGGGTGTATTCCCCGTTCCGACGACGGTGATGGGGCCTTGGATGAGCTCGTCGCCGTTGAAGTGGGTTAGGTAGCCGCGGTCACGGAGCGGAGCGAGCTGCTTCATGACAGCGTGCCAGGTTGCCGCGCCTGCGGTTTTGAAGTCGATTAGAAGAATGAGCGATTGGGCAGGGTCTGTACCGAAGACACCATGTGTATGGCTGTGGCCTCCCCGGTGAAATCTAGTGGTTGGGTTCTGGCGCTCGAGGATAGATACTAGCGGGTCAATGTACATAGATTGTAGGGTTAGGCGCTCTGTCAGGGACGATGTGGTGTGGCCGACGTAGAGCTCATCGTCGAAGAGCCAGACATCGGCTTCGACGCCTATGCATCCCGCCTGCAGTGCGGAGTACAGTGGCACCCGGCGCCAGTAATCGTTGTGGGAGTGACAGCCAACAGGGACGATATCGCGCGAAATATCGGTGGGCCAGCGCGTGCTGTCTATTGTGTTCGTACCGTCGGTACTGGGTAGCCAATTATGAACTGCACGGTCGTACTCATCTGGGAAGAATGAGAGGGCGATACCACAAGCGATGGAGATAAATTGGATGATGCCTCTGTTATCGGCGATAGGTCAGCGGGGTCTTCCGCATAGACACGGCCTGCACAGTTCGTGAAACTCACAGCATAATGAATATTCCGATAATCGCACGCCGGAGACCATGTAAGTATCGCGATCGACAAGATCGCTTGCGCTTAGCTGGGTTTTCCGACAGCATGGAAGACGTTGAAGGCCAAGCCAAGGCTGTCCAGACTTGCCGCCATGAGCGGGCCGGATACCCCACTCGCTCAGAGTCAACAGAGTCAACATGTACATTGACCTTCGGGTATTCCGTATCTAGTGAGTCTCTGTATGGATCGAAATGAAGACTGGATACCGAATTGGTCTGGGGAGGGCGGAAAGGGCTCATCATGGGTGAGGAAGTAAAGAGAAGACAGAAGGGAAAACACAAAAATAGATTCCCCGACCCTTAAAACTGGAGGCAGCCATGATATTGGGGGCGGTGATTGGATCCGTGGTACTTTCAAAGCTACGACCATGTCCTGAGGTATACACGTGCTGGATTGTTGACGATTGATTGAATATTTCCATCGCTATCTATATACAGGTAAAAACATTGAAGATTGAAATTCACAGGCCCCAAACACCGGCAGGTTCAGATGAACACACTTTTTTATAGAGTTACTCCTGAAGAGACTTGACATAGGTAACAGCCCGTGCCTTAACCTCTTCAACCATCTTCTCATCTCCATTGGCAGCTGCCAGACCCTCCTCGAAGGAAAGCCATTTCTTGAACAGGAATCGGGCCTGCTTAGGCTTGAGCTTCTTGCTAGCGTCCACACTGACAGGGCCCTTCTTGCCACTCTGTAGGCCAAGGACGCGCTCGAAGAGACGGCGCACTTGCTCCGCATCGCCGACCTTGATCTCCAGGTCCAGGAGGACGTTCCACAAATCAATACGCTTGGGGAATGAGGAAAGGAGACCCTCGAAGACGGTACGACCGCGCTCAATGTCTCCATTGGGGGAGCGGAACTCGAGCTGGGCGAACTTGGAGGTCGTCTCAACGTGGGTGTGGGCAGGGAGGGACTGAAGGGCGCGTGGGAGCAAAGCCCGAGCACGGTCGGGGGAGGCCATGGTGTCGAAGAGGAAGCTGGCGTAGTTGTAGAAGAACTTGGGGGACTGGGAGGAAATCTTCTTCTTGAGAGCCGCGTAGAAGAGATCACTTGCTTTCTGTAAAATTGTTAACATCCGTAGGAAGTAAGATTCAAAATGGATACATACCTGGTTCTTGCCGGATTGGATGTAAATACTGATCATCCGCTCGTAGATCTCTTGGGGCTCGTTGTACTGGCAGGCACGCTTGAAGACCTCCTCGAGACTGTCATCATCACCGTATGTGTTCTCCATGTTCAGCAGCGCAACCCAGATGTTCAGCTTCTCAGCATCCTGGCCCATGGTGATAGTGCGCAAAGCACGCTCAGCAATGGCGCGTGCCTTCTCGATCTCACCCAGCTCCAGCTGGAAGGCCATGTACTGCAGCCACAGAAGCGAGGAGTCGGGCTCACCCAGGAGGAGTCGCTCGAAGTCGGCAACAGACTGAGGGCCATTGGCGTCCAAATCGCCGGTGCGGTCCACCTGGATCTCGGCCTTGCGGTTCTTCTTCTTCTTCTTTTTGGAACCCTCGTCTTCGCTGTCGGAGCGCGCGGCAGCATCGGACTTGGCGGTGCCGCTCCAGTCGAAGCCGCTCGCACCGAGACCTCCGGCCTTGCTAGGCTTCTGTATCGGGACATCTCCATCCTCCTCCTCTGATTCCTCCTCCTCGCTGTCATCCTCTACATCAACACCTCCCATGGACTCATCATCATCCTCATCTTCGCTGTCGTCCTTCGTAAGTTCGACACCGCCAAGACCGTCAATGCTCATACTGTCCTCATCCTCGCTGTCATCTTCCTCTTCATCCTGGAAGTGGGAAGCCTTCAGTGAGAAAGAGATCTTCTTCGACTCAAGGTCGATATTAATGATCTTCGCCTTAACAGCATCGCCTTCGTCGTACAATTTGCGAGCATCTTCAACGCGCTTCTCGGCCATCTCACTACGGTGACAAAGACCGCTGATGTTTGAAGACCCGTCAACGACAATGAAAGCACCGAACTCCTCCACCTTGCGGACCTTGCCCGTGACAATCTGACCAACTTTAAGATCCTTAAGGGTGATAAGAGCCTTAAAGTTGGGGTCCAGAACAGACTCCTTCAAGCTCAACTGCAGCTTGCCTTGCTCGGCGTCAACAAACGTGACCTTACCCTTGACGAGTTGATCTGGCTGGAAGGAGTCCTTCCATTCCTTGAGATACGAATCGGAAAGATCAGAGACACGGACGAAAGCAGTGATATCGTGACTGACTGCCACGAAGAGACCAGAATCGGTGACTCGTCGGACGAAGCCGCGAATGACATCGTTAGGCTTAACATCCTTGAGCGAAGAGATCTCACGGTCTTGCACGGGCAGAGAGGAGCTCATGACCTTGGAGGGGCGCAGCGACAAGGTAATTTTCTTGTTAGACTTGTCAACGGCGATAACGCATGCTCGGAGAACCTCGTTCTTGTTGTGCACGGTAGGGTTGGCCTTGGAGTAGTCATCTGCGAGGTCAATCAGATTGACCGCACCGACAAGTGACTCGCCAAGCTGCATAATGAGTTGGCGCTCAGTGACCTTGGTAACGCGACCGGGCAAGATCATGCCAACGGAGATATCTCCAAATGTGAGCTTGTCGTATCCTTGCTTGGCAGATAGACTAAGGTGGCCCTTCTCAGCGTCAACAGCGGTAACCTGGACCTTCAAAGCAGAGCCGATGGGGAAGTTTTTCTCCATATCAGTCAACAAGGAGAGGTCGTCTGATGCATCCATGAAGCGCAGTCTGCCGCGGACATTGGGGGACAGGTTAATCCAGAGGCAATCATCAGCGACATTGTTGACGAAGCCTATCCAAGAGGAGCCGACTTGAACCTGCTCCATGTTAAGAGGGGCAGGGTTGGCGGCCTTGATGTAGCTTGGCTTGAGAGAGAGCTCGAACACAGGGTACTTTCCAGTGCGGTGGCTAATGGGGAGGAATTTATGATTACGAGCATCGTGAACACCAAGGATTCTGGCAGAGAGAGTCTGCTTGGCCTTAAAGAATCGCAAGGGCTGTTTGCGATCCTTGATGTCTTTCCAGTCGTCGAATATCTCGGACACATCAATGCGGCCGTGAATGTTATCCGCAAGCTGAACATTGACTTGGGTTGCCTTGATAGAGACGACCTTGCACTCAACGATTCTGCCAAATGTGAAATCAGACATGCTCTTGATGTTAGCATCGACGGGGTTGGCAACGCTCTCGTCAGTCTGCTTGGCCGCTTTCTTGGGAGCGGCCTGGGTAGCCTCAACGGGCTTCATACTCAGGATAAAGCGCTTGAATTCCTGGTCCACAGACTGCACATTGACAACAATCGTTTGCGCCTTTGCCAACCCGTAGTGAGGTTGTTCGAGGTTGGAGTCTTCGATAAGACGCTTGGGGAGCAAGCCAGTGAGACCGCCGAGGAATTCAACGAAGACACCGTCGGGTGTGATGTTGCGGACGAATCCTGTGACAAGGGAGCCCTCTTGGACTTCCTCGAAATGGCCCGGGATGTTCTTCTGCTTGGCAGCTTTTTTCAAGCTGGCCCTGCTAGAAACCTTGATAAGACGGTGAGCGCGCTGGATGCTGAGGACCAAAAGATCATTCAGCTTCTGTCCGACGCGGAGCTTGGATAACATCGAGCTTTGCTTCGATGGGGGACCGTCGATGAGTTGTGAAGCGTCGAGACGAGCAACGAGGCCGGACTCGTCAAGCTTGAGAAGCACATCATCATTGGACTTCTCAAAGACGATTCCAGTAACAAGATGGCCGGGATGAAGGTTCTCAAAGGCCTCACGATACTTTTCGGTGAATGTCGAGGGATCCTTGCACGAGACAGCAAGTCTTCCAAGGGCTGCATCCACGCTCAAAGCATGAACATTGACAACCTGGCCGAGTTTGAAATGCTGGGCCGGATCCTGGATGTATGCTTCACTCATCTCAGATACGGGAAGGAAACCACGGACCTCGCCGTAGAACTGCACAACAGCACCATGACTCTGAAGATTGACAATGGTACCAGGGGACTGAGCCGAAGGAGTGATATCTTTGTAGTCTTTCCAGATAGCAGACTCGCTGTTGAGCAAGCTCTTCTTTAGGGTCAACCGAATTTGACGTTTTTCGAGGTTCACAGAGAGGATCCTCAGGGAAAGCTTCTGCCCCTCGCGGAACTTCTTCTCTGGGAACTGAAGCATGGTATCCGCAAAGTGCATGGAAGGAACAAGACCGGTGATTCCGTCAGCCAGGTTAACAATCAATCCAGTCATACCATCGGCACCGATCAGAAGCTTCTCGACCTTTCCTTTAACAATAGCACCCACGTTCACATCTTCGACGCGAAGGAAGGGCTGTTCGATAACGCTCTTCTCAAATGAGAGAATGTAGAGGTTATCAATAGAGTTGTACCCAATGACTCTTGCCTCGTGAACAGCGTCTAGCTGGAAAGGTCCAGAACTTTCGTCGACTGTTTCAACCTTGCCATCAGAGAGTCTCGACATGTGAACGAAGCCCATATGTTTTGTTTCTCCAATCCGAGCATACACACCCAGACCTTGATCAACCTTTACGATCTTGACCTCAGGAATGATTGCGGAAATAGCAGGCGCATCATCAGAAGAACCGGGACCGCGAGCATCGGAAGAGAGCTTGAGGACGTGGTCGAGCATAGAAAAGCTGACTTTGAGCGGCTCGGCAGCCGGGAAAGTCGCAATAATACGGCCCTTGATCTTTGCACCAATCTTGAATTTCTTCTCCAGATCAATCTTGCCGTTGATGCTAGACTGGACCAAATCAACGGTTGCGTCGAGCATTCCCATAATCTTTCCAATCATTCCGTTCGATGTGACTTCCGTAAGAAGAATTTCCGCAGCGGTACCGGGGAGGAAAGTGTTGATTGTAGGTGCCGAATTGAGGTAGTTGGACTTCTTGATCGAGGCAGACGTTTGGAAGTTGGAGGACAGCTTGATGACATTGCCACTGGGATTCTGACCAGTGACCATGCAAAGGAAAACAGAGCCTTCCTTGATGCTAGAATAATCCACACTGGGATCGGTCTCCTTGGAGGACATAAAGCCCTTCAGTTCTGAGCCTTCGATGCCCAGATCCATGACCACACCGTGATCTTCCACACTGACAACGGACGCTTGGACAGCTGAGTTCACAACAAGATCAGACTTTGAGAAGCCGTTGTTTGTTTGTCTAGGGTCAACTGAAAGCTCGATTCGCCTTTTGCCCTTTGCCTTTGGATCATCCGGGTTGCTGCCAGTAGACACAACGAATGCTCGCAGGTATTGACCCAAATAGAAATGATCCTTCAAGTCAAAGGACTCCTCGTCGGAGCTGTCCTCGGCATCGTCATTCCCAGCTTCATCGTTCAACATCTTCTCAAGTCTGTCTTCGAGGCCCTTCGAAACGGATGTGAGAGGGACGTAACCGGTAAGGTTGTTGGGGAGCGAAAGACCGATGTCGTGTGCGTTGATACTCGAGACCTGGCCCAGGATCATGGCTCCGGGTACAATGCGCTATAATTGTTAGAGTGATGCGACATGAAAGAGTTTTCTAGCACGTACCTTGAAGCTAAGACCCTCGATGCGAACATTTTGCTTGTCATCAGCTTCCTTGTCTGCGGACTTCTTGCTTTTTGACTTCTTCTTTCGCGACTTCTTCGTAGTCGCAGTTGTTTCTTCGTCCTCCATTTCAACATCGTTGTCGCTTTCTTCGGCGAATTCGTTGGAAGGTGTCTTCTGGGCAGTTTTCTTGTTTCCAGATTCTTTCTGCTCGAACAAGACATCTCTGTTGGCCTGAATCTGAATTTGCTTGCGTTCCAATGGTGTCAGAACACTTGCGCCACCACGAGGGAATGAGGGCTCGTCATCGCGCAGCACAGAAAGTTCTGAAGCTTTCCCAGCGGTGGATGTGGTAGCATCGTTTGACTTCTTATGGTCTCTGTTGACCTCCTCCGCTCCAACTTTAGCACGTTTTTGGGGCTGGCGGGCAGTATTTTCTTCGGGGGCATTCCCCTTGCGCTTGATTGGTGCCATTCTTAAACTGGCAAAACCGAATCGTGCAGTTGCAGATTGCGGTCTAATTCCTCGAAAAAAAAGATTAAAAAAATTCCGCGGATGCGGCAGAACCTTCAGGGCGGTGTCAGGACCTGGGGTCATGAGTCAGCAAATCAATGTGCCTGAATTCCAAGGACAAACAACCTTGAATCCCGCCAGATCTGTATGGACTGAACCAAACTATCTTGAAGCTACCTAGCTATGTTTGAAATTGGCCTACGATATCATGGAATCATATTTAAATATACATCCAGGGCCTCTGTGCTCCTCAGGAAAAACTATGGAGTGGGGAGTAAGTGCATCCTCACAAGTGATGCTAACTATCCATCGGAAAGCATTTCTCTGTCTCGTCATAATGGAAAGTATCTACAGGACATTAGTCAGACTAAGATGACTTGGGATATATCGGTCCCTTTTCATAAGTCAGTATTTGCTTTGATGTGCGAAATCAGACCTTGGATGTTACAATTCTCAAAAGAGTGAGCTGAGGAACTGAAGAGCTGAAAGACCGTGTATATTGATTGCCTTTTTTATGTACAATGTGGCTTACCATATGGCACTAGTGTAAAATTATGGTAGGTTTCTGTGTTTGTGAGTGATAATTATACATAGAAATATTGTGTCCGCCACCCTGGCCACGAGGTAGTATTCCCAATTACATCCATTGAACAGTCTATAACAGTAAGAGAAGGGGATGAAGATCGTATCCCTAGTAGTCTCACATAGAGACATCGAACCAATAGGTCTATTGTATATATCTGACTACCACATGCAGTCATCGACTTTGCCCTTTAGAAGGCAACCTGCAGTACATGAACATGTGTTCGCACTAATATCAACTTGTTTACATCGTATATCACGCAGCCCCTGCCTTGGCCACCCGAATCCTTAATCCAGCAATTCACTGACTGCCAACATAAAGAGGGAGAGGTGCTCCGGTCCCTCTTCTTTATTGGTCATTCTGTTAGCTCACATCCTTAAACAGAGTACCCCGTATCTAGAGACAATTTATGTAGTCATTACTACAGAGCAACCGAAAGAGGGGAGGCTTCAGCTCACTTCCATCAACTAATCAATACATTGAGCAATTTTCAAATGAGACAATCCATCAGACAGAGTCCACCGGGCGTCAACATCTTTGGTTAAATGATCCGCAACCCACTTCAGAGTTCTTGCAAACGGACTGTTCCCTGCGTTTAACGCAATTTCGGTCAAAATCTTCCTGTAGGCTCAAATATCATTCAATCGACGAGTTTCGAACAGAAGACGTGACAGTTCACCGCGTATCTCTGGGGCAAGTCAGTTGTACGTTATTCCACCGATACCGCTAATATCAATGATAACCGCATTACCATCGTCGTCGAGAACGATATTTGAAGGTTTGAGATCCATGTGCGTTTGCTTTGCACGGTGAATAATGCTTAAAGTATTTACAATTTAGATAGCCCATCGCTCCCAACCAAATTTCCTTATACGCTGTTCACTTAAAACACGTTGTAAGGAACCGCCACTATAGTATTCTAATAGAATACCACCGATAACCATTTGTTCGACATTTTGGGAGGTCGCATACGGGTTGTTAAACGCCGCAATACCAGCTGACTGCACAATCCCTATCACGCCTTTGAAATGTTCAAGATTCTCTAGTTCCTTTTGTAATGACATCCGAGTCGCGTGGTTGATAAAGAGGGCGATTGACTACTTTGAGGATGTGAGGAGTTCTATCGCTCCTATGTAAAACGCGGAATACTCCGTCGGTAATTTCATCCTCTTCTATCAATTCTGCGATATTGATAGCGCGGAAAGAGGGAAATCGGAGGCATAGTGGATAAGTCACTCTCAATGGGTCCTCCCGGATATAGAATCATAGGTTTCCAACAAGCCTTATAACCCGATTGCTGGTATCTTCTAGGTCGTGACGCAGATTGATAGAATCAATTGTTCCCGGGTCTTCGCTCAATATTACCTCAGACACAGTATCATCCAGAAGGGCCAAGGGATCAAAGTCGAACAATTTGACAAAGTCTTGGTATTCCTTTCGTCGTTCGCGTTTTGTTTTGTTTTGGGGGAAAGAAGAAATCGCGCCTTTGAAAGTTACTTTGATCCACCACTTTTTGTTTTCAAAATGATAGATCAAAGTCTGCGAGCGACTGTTAGGCTCGGGCTCTCCGTTGCATAGGAAGTCTTGGTCTTCACAGTACGACTTTAACTCTAGGTCGGACGTAAAAGGAGAAAGAGCTGTTGTAGTTGGCATTTTGTGGAAATTGAAAAGTATGATTGAGAGGCAAGGTGCATATGTCGTTAGAATGGAGCAAATGTTGCTTAGGTTTCAAGGGAAAGGTTGAGGAAAGGGTAGTTTCTATGTTTGGACAATATATGTTTATACAGCCTTGTAGGTCACATGACGTGACAGGACCTATACTTCGAGCATACAACATAACCTGAGTTAGGTCCATCTCCCTCTGTTTGAGCATTCTTTAAAAGTTAATCAAGGGACCTATTTGATGTTCCAACGTTCCATCATTATAGTAGTCTGATATTGGGAAATTGATCAATATCGTGTGATTTCACGCGTTTTGATACCAAAACTGGGAAAATACTTTAACCTAGGAACTAATTCAAACTGACTTGCCTTATTCAAACATCAAGGGGGAATAATTGAGAGTGAAGGAGTTCGGCATTAAGGATGGAGGGGGTTGAAATGCCTTAGATGCCTTAACACGATCGCGTCACGTCGCGACACGGGAAAAGATCCAACTTCCCCGATTAATCTCTGACCCTCTTTAGCCTTCCAGCCACCACCAATACCACCAATGCTTGCATAGCCTTTGATTTTCTCTTTGCTTTTTGTTCAACACACAATGGACACCTTCAATCTCCCGGAAGTACCCCGGTCAGAGCCTGTCCTTCCTCCAGAGCCACCCTCATCCCCGCCGTCTATTGCTTCCGATACTCGCAGACCTAGAAAGCCACCGACTGTAACGCCCCGGTCATTCCGTCGATTCTTTACCCCGCGCTCTTTATTACCAGTCGGGGATACTTCTATCACGCCCTCAACTAGCCGCCAGGCATTACGGGCACTATCATCGCCCGCGGTGAATCGTCTAGGACCGGCCTTTTCAAGAACCTCTAAGGCTGGCAGCACCAGAAGCCCCCACGATGGCTTACCGGAGGACTTCATTCGCACCCCAAGCAGGAAAAGAAAGAACTCATTCTCTTCAGTCGTCTCGCCGCAATCCTCGCCTCTGAAGAGAGTTCGTGTCCGGTCTCCGACGCAGGATGTGGAACAAGATATTAAAATTTCAAACATCAACATCCGCCTTGATGCATCAGCACCGCCGAGTCCACCCAAACGAAATCCCCCCGTGGCCCCTGTGCGCCGCTCCCAGGCATTGCAATCATCCGGTGCTTTATTTATGCGAAATGTGATGGGGGCTCGAGCAAATAAAGTAACTCTACGATCTAACTCTGGCGCTGGTTGGTATTTACCCCATGGCTTTCTTATACACCTCTAATATTTTCTCTAGGCTGGCAAGATCTAACTTCCAACTTCTATTCGAAACCGCGGGACCGTCACATGTGTTCTAGCTATGGATCGGAGCGTTCAGTGGCCCTCCCATTTTGTAATGCTTCATGCAACAGTGAGTCATATTTTACCTGACTGATCCTACACATGCTAACAAATGGGAAGCAAATTCTCTTGTTGCAGTGGGCGATGAAGAGGGTGGAATTCGGCTCTTGGATTCATCGATTGACGAGGATCCTGGATTCGCTGATGCATACCTTGGGTTCCGTCCGCACATGAATTCGATTATGGATCTCGAGTTCTCATCGGACGACATGCTACTGGCTACAGCATCTGGAGACCAAACATCTCTTATTATTGATATGACAACACAACGACCTATCCACTGCTTATCGAATCACTCATCCTCCGTTAAGCGTGTCCAATTCCAACCAGCATCCAACAATAAGGTTCTTGCTACTTGCAGTCGGGATGGAAATGTGAATATCTGGGATCTCCGCTGCAAGGGGTTTGAACGGCCTGCATTGCAAGTCCAATGCTCCCTATCCGAGACCGAAAATGTCGTGACCACTGCGCAGCCAAAGATGTTATACCCACATGTTCTGAATACCATTCAAGGTGCTCATGCATACACGACCTCTCATAAACCGACCACGGACAAAAATGATGCGCCACCAATTGGCCGAACCGACATCACCGTTACTTCCCTCGCTTTTCTCTCGCCTGGACGCGAAAATCTTTTTGTTACGGCTTCCGAGGCTAGCGCAAGCGTCAGACTGTGGGATTTGCGAACAGCCCATAACAATCGCCGTGGTCGACCCGTCATTCCTCTATCTACAACGCAAGAGCCAGAAAGCCATGTGAAGTACCGACGCTTTGGTCTAACTTCCATGGCATTTGGAGGAGATGGCTCACGCTTATACACACTTTGCCGGGATAATACTGTTTACACATATTCGACATCACACTTAATTCTCGGGCATGCTCCTGAACTCTCGCTCAACAACAACCGTCCACGAAGGACTGGAGGCTCCGACAAGGACGGTCTTGGGCCTCTCTATGGTTTCCGCCATCCTCGCCTCCAAATATCCTCATTCTATGTGAAGTTGGCTGTGCGCAAAGCAAGCTACGATCATCCGGAGATGTTGGCAACTGGGAGCAGTGACCACTGCCCCATCCTCTTCCCTACCGATGAACGATTTCTCAATTCTACCGTGAAAACACCAGCCGAATCTCTGCCTAGCAGGACTTCCCTTTTCACCACTCGCTCAGGTCTTCGTCGCACCAACTCTGGAATCGGCTTGTCCGGCCGTCTCGAAGATACCATCCCAATTTACCAATCAGGCACTCCCCTCATCGAAGGTCATCAGAAAGAGGTCACTGGTTTGTCCTGGACACCATCTGGCGAACTCATTTCCGTGAGTGATGACTACGATGCTCGATGCTGGCGTGAGGGACCTGAGGCTCGCGAGCTTCGAAACGGTGGTGAAACTGAGGGTAAACGCCACATGTGTGGCTGGGCTGATATGAAAGACTCAATTGACGATGAAGATGAATGATTCCCCGGTTTCTTCTGTGATTTTTCTTGTTTTGCATTTTCCTAGGTGTTCTTTTTTTTTGCCTGTGGGCATTTTACTGGCGTTTGGGGGCATATTATTAGCGAAGCATACCCTTTATCTCGGACTTATTTGCATTATCTGAACAAACATATCCCTCATTCATCAAGTTCAATTACTGCTTTCTCGAGTATGCCAATAGACTGATATTTGGAATGGCGAATGCTGGGGAGATCCGTGGACCGCCCATAGAGCGATAAGTAAGATAAGGCTAACCTCGATGAAAAAAAGTTCCGCCAACAACTCCAATCCTCCAAACTTCCATTGCAAAACCACCCAAAATGCCTCACAAACACAAGAGACGTGGCGAAGCCGATATAGCGTGAGCACTAGTAATTACTAAGTTTATCCAAAGCCCAAAACTGACAATTCCACTCGCGGCAGCCACTTCAATCTCCCACCCTCAGAGATCGCGAAAGCCCTTCCAGTCCGCGATCTAGTCAAGCCTAAGCTAGGCAAGAATGGCAAAAAACTCGTCAACAAGAACCAAGGCAAAGACCAGAACCAGAGCGCCAACAAAGCACCCACCCACCGCCTCAAGACTGTCACCGAAGACGACACCCCGAAAGCATTCCGCCGCCTAATGCAATACCAGCAGACAGGTCGACGAGCGCCATCGGGACTAGAGACGGGCGAGCGCCCGAACAAGCGCAAGCGCAATGCTACAGAAGACTCAACAGCGTCATCGAAGAAGCCCGCGAAGGCAGCGGAGACACAAAAACCCAAAACCGCCGCCAAGGAGAAGACCGAAACGCCCAAAATCATGCCTGGCGAGCGGCTGGCCGAGTTTGTGGCACGTGTTGACCGCGAAATGCCATTGTCGCAGATGACCAAGTCGGTCAAGACGGGTGATGCCAAGAACAAGGAGCAGCACAAGCGGACGAAGCATGAGAAGCACCTGCTGCGATTGCAGAAGGGGTGGCGTGAGCAGGACGCTAAGATTCGCGACAAGGAGCAGGAGGAGAGGGAAGAGAGGGAGGAAGAGATGGAGGTTGAGTTGCGGCAGTGGAAAGAGTGGGAGATTGAGGCTGCTGGGGGGAAGAAGAAGGCTGCGAAGAAAAGCAAGAAGAAGGGGACGAATGCTAATGGGGACGCTGATAGTGGGGATGATGATCCTGATCCTTGGGCTAAGCTGAAGAAGCGCGACGAGGAGCGGAAGAGGAATCCATTTGAGGTTGCGAAAGCGCCGCCTCAATTGGTCAAACCCCGGGAGATCTTCAAAGTGCGTGGCGGGGCTAAGGTTGATGTTGCCAATGTGCCTGCTGCGGTTGGGAGTTTGAGACGCCGTGAGGAATTGGCTGGTGAGCGGAGGAATATCGTTGAGGAATACCGGAAGTTGATGGCTGCCAGGCGGCAGTGAGGGATATAGATCTAGTAGAATGGTTGTTTAGGGCTACGAGTTTCATGTATCTACTTCAAGAGAAATTCGTTCATATGCAGTGCAGCGGAAATGAGAATTTACTACTGCTGATCATCTATGTCACATCATATTACTGCCATTTTTTTTGGGATTGGGGTAGTCAAAGTAAGCTTAGGCTTAGTGGCCGTGGCCGTCATCCTGCTGCTGCTCGGGGTCCAGCTTGATGATCGTGTCAATACGCATGATGGATATGCAAGCCTCCACAGCACTCTTGAGTTGCTTGATCTTGCTCATGCTGGGCTCCAGCACACCGGCCTTCAAAGTGTCGTGAACCCGTCCCTTCGTCAGATCCAAACCGTAGTTGCGGTAGGTCTTCTTCTTAGCAATGGCCTTCTCCTCCTCGTTAGCATCGCCATCCTGCACACGCTGTGACAGGGCGTGGCGGACACGGAGCTGGGCAACAAGCTCAGATGAATCCTTCGCTGCGTTGACTGCCAGAGTCTGAGGAATGACAAGGAGAGATTGTGCGAACTCGCCAATGGCCAGTTGCTCACGGGAGCCCTTTAGTGAAAATGTTAGAAACCGATATGGGAGCAAAGAATAGCGAACAGTATTACTTACCACTGTGACTGCGAATTCCTCAAGGTAGATGTGAAGTGCGGTTTCCACGGCTCCACCGCCGGGAACAATGCTCCCGCTTTCCAGAGTGCGCTTGATCGCACACAGAGAGTCGTGAACAGAGCGCTCCATCTCGTCCAAGCTGTACTCGTTGGCACCACGGAGAATAATGGAAGCCGCAGTGTGGATCTTGGTACCCCTGATCAGGATACACTCGTCGTCCGAGATACGTTCTTGCGAAACTGACTCTGCGTGTCCAAGGTGTGATGCGTCGAACTTCTCATCTCCGTTGAGGTCAGAGAGGGTGCTGATCATGGTAGCACCGGTGGCCCTAGCAATGCGGCGCAGGTCTTCCTTCTTGCAGCGGCGGACTGCCATGGCCCCCCTTTCAATGAAGAGCTTGAGAACCATGTCGTCGATGCCCTTGGTCGTGAGGACGACATTGGCACCAGACTTCAGAATCATATCAACACGCTCCATCACAATGCCGGACTCTCGCTGACGGATCTTCTCCAGTTGATCGGGGTCTTCCACTGTAATCTGAACACCAAGCTTCATCCGCTCCTTTTGCAGATTCATATCGAGAATGGCGATCTTGGCGTCGGCCACGTGTGTGGTCATGGCCTGGGAAGCAACAGTGCAATTCAACGCGTAACCGTCCACGAGTACGGACTCAGTGCCACTTTTTCCGTGGGCCTTAAGCAGGTTCACGGCCTTGACTGGGTATTTGACTTCGCCTCTCTGGTTCAAAGACTTCACCTGCAACATTGCGTCCACACACATGTTCGCAAAGAAATCGGAATCGGAACCGATGATCTTGCTGGACATGGAAGTCTTCGCAATGTTGACCAAGCTCTCCCTCCCGATATTATCCACCTTAGTCGTAATATTTTCATTCATATACTTGACGGCCTCGCGCAGGGCAATTCGGTATCCGTTGATGATCGTAGTAGGGTGTATACGGTTCTTCATCAACTCGTTGCCTCTCCGGAGAAGCTCAGCGGCGATCAGAACAACCGAGGTGGTGCCATCTCCGACCTATTGAATTTGAAATCATGATCAGCGTGTGCGTTTGAAAATGTGTTGTAAAGGCCCGTACCTCCTTGTCCTGTTGTTGGGCCAGCTCAACGAGGATCTTGCCCGCAGGGTGCTCAATATCAAGAAGAGACAGAATAGTAGCGCCATCGTTCGTCACAGTCACATCCTGTCAGATGTTAGAAGTTGCAGCCAAGCTCTGCGGGGTTTATCGTTTCCATACCCCTATGTCATCCACCATCATCTTGTCCAAACCGGACGGACCGAAGGAGGATTTGATGACATTAGCGATGGCTTGTGTTGCCAGAACTGCAAGGAATCAGTTATCCATCCCCAAGAACGGGAAATCCATCAATAATTCAACATACCATTCTGCTCACGGACATCAGCACCGGTGATTTTCTGCCCACCCAAGACTGTGCGAGAATGGTCAGTTTATTGCAACGAAAACGATGATGGTTCAGACGAAAACTCACAGAGCGTGTCCGCATTCCGCGGCGCCTCAAAAATGCCTGCCATATTCAAAACAGACGATGTGATATGAGCTATTCGAGTGCGATGGCAGAGCTGTCTGGCTTCTGGGGGGGTGCTGTGGGCACTAAAAGTTCTGCCGAAGCGGTGTGCTGGTAATTTTCGATATCGCATCCCACTTCAAGGAGGGGAGTCATACCCCGATTTCGCTTGCTTACAATCCTACTGGGTCTCTCCTTCATTGTCTAGTCAGACACTCGCTTCTTCAACATGGCTAGCCAGAACCCCAGCGAAGACCGCACCCCCGAGGGCGCTGCGCCCCAGACCTTGCCTGACCGCACTGAAACCCCCGCCGATGACAAGGCGGGTGAGTCAAAGAACGCCGCTAAAAAAGCCGCGAAGCTCGCGAAACTGAAGGCCGATAAGGCTGACAAGAAGGCCTCAAATAAGGGAGAGAAGGGTATTGGCAAGCAAGAGGCTAAGAAAGCTTCTAAGAAGAAGGTTGATGGTGCCGCTTTGATCGGTATTGATGTCTTGAAGGAGGAGGACTTCTCCGGCTGGTACCAGCAGGTTCTCACCAAGGGTGATTTGCTGGACTACTATGATGTCTCCGGTTGCTTCATTCTCAAGCCTGCCTTGTTCTTCATCTGGGAGGAGATTCAGGAATACTTCAACAAAGCCATCAAGGGCATGGGTGTCAAGAACTGCTCTTTCCCTCTATTCGTGTCTGAGGATGTCCTCCAGCGGGAGAAGGACCACATCGAAGGCTTTGCCGCTGAAGTCGCCTGGGTCACGCACGCGTATGCCGTCCCTTCCCTATAATACCTTTATAATTCAATTGGACTACACTGACATACTTCTAGTGGCTCGACCCCCCTCGAGAAGAAGATTGCCATTCGTCCGACCTCGGAGACTGTCATGTACCCCTACTACGCCAAGTGGATCCGCAGTCACCGTGATCTCCCCCTTCGTCTCAACCAGTGGAACTCAGTCGGTGCGGTCTCCGTTCTTTCTCCATACCCTCGAAGTGTTACTAATATCCACAGTGAGATGGGAATTCAAGCACCCTCAACCACTCCTCCGTTCAAGAGAATTCCTTTGGCAAGAGTATGTTTTTGACATTCTTCTCAGTTGAAAATGACATACTAACAATGTGCAGAGGTCACACTGCTCACCTGACTGAAGGTGCTGCCCGCGAGGAAGTCCTGAGCATCCTTGACTACTATGCCAAGATTTACAAGGAGCTCCTTGCTGTGCCTGTCGTTAAGGGCCAGAAGACCGAGAAGGAGAAGTTCGCCGGCGGTAACTACACCACCACTGTCGAGGGCTACATCCCCGCCACTGGCCGTGGTATTCAGGGTGGTACATCCCACGGATTAGGCCAGAACTTTAGTAAGATGTTCGGCATCACCGTCGAGGATCCCACCTCCACGGTCGATGAGAAGAAGCCCCCTCTGCACGTCTGGCAGAACTCCTGGGGTCTGTCGACTCGCTCACTGGGTGTCATGGTCATGATCCACAGTGACAACAAGGGTCTGGTCCTGCCTCCTCGTGTGGCTGAGGTCCAGGTTATCATTGTTCCAGTCGGTCTTACAGCCAAGACCACTGAAGAGGAGCGCGAGAAGCTCAATGTCGAGGTCGACGGTCTCGTCGCCGTCCTCGTTGCCGCCGGCATCCGTGCTGACAGCGACAAGAGCAGCTACTCCCCCGGCTGGAAGTTCAACCAGTACGAGCTCCGCGGTGTGCCTCTGCGTATTGAGTTCGGCCCTGGCGAGTCCGCTGGCCACTTTGTCACCACCGCCCGCCGTGATATCCCCGGCAAGGATGGCAAGGGCAGTATCCCGATCCCCGAGCTGGCTACTGGCGTGTCTGCGCTTCTTGAGACCATCCAAACCGACCTGTACAACCGCGCCGACGAGCAGTTCAAGGCTCACCGCATCCAGATCACCAAGTGGGATGACTTTGTTCCCGCTCTGAACAACAAGAACCTCTGCGTCATTCCCCATTGCTTGACCGAGGAGTGCGAGGACCAGATCAAGGAAATGAGTGCCCGCAAGGCCGAGGAAGACTCCGGCGAGGCTGAGGATGCTAAGGCTCCCAGCATGGGCGCCAAGTCTCTGTGCATTCCTTTCGAGCAGCCCGAGGGTATTGAGCAGGGTGTTACTCCCTGCTGCAACCCCAAGTGCCAGCGCTTCGCTGAGAAGTGGTGCATGTTTGGCCGTAAGTTTCTACCCCCTAGTTTCTTACCCCTCAATGATTCTTAACAAAACGCTAACTATCTCGATATAGGCTCATATTAAGCTATTGCGTTGCATCCATATCAGGACTTGCATCTGCTGCCGCCAGAACTACCATGCAGTCCAAAGCACCAGTGGCCACCACCATCGAGTACCGAGGGGATTGTATTTTGCGACACTCTCCGGTGCATAGTGAAACAAGTCGAAGTATCAGACAATATGGCATTTTCTTCTGTGGGTTCCAAGGCGTCCCTTCAATATGTTGATTTGTCAATGTGGAGTTTTAAGGGGAAATGGCAGGTAGTGGCAATGATATTATGAAAATGAGACATGTCATTATTATTGCTTTTCTGTGATTTTATTTCCTTTCGTTTATCGGCAATCCCGTAGACCAGTGTCAAGCTATCAATAAATAGCGCACAAATAGCACAAGATATGCACGCTGGGGATCCGAAATCCTAAGCCGAGCCTCTATCGAACGAGAAACAGAAGCTGATACGGAAAAGAACAATGTAGTGGGATACGATAGTATGAGTTGATCAAAGTACCATAGCACAGGGGGCAAAGAAATTGGCAAACAATACCCATTTCGTCTATGAAGAGAGAGAAAAATATTGCAAGGCGAACAATAGGATATTGATATATATGGCAAACGCTATGGAGCTTTAATATACACCTGTAATAATAATAAGCAACTCCGGCCAAATCATGCAAGCACGGCAATAAGACAAGATAAGGAAATAATTGGAGGTCCGGTATAAGACAAGAGAAAAAAAAAAGGATGAGAGATAGACTAGGGTTAATATATGACAGGATATATGGGTACAAGGTGTATGATTATGACAAGGATTGGCCGGCATATCGAAGGTTAATTCGACATGGCCAAGATTGGAACGGATTGAACGGCTTTTTTGGAGGAAGCAAGAAGGCGAGAGAGAGGGAGAAAGTCGTGGGAGCATCGTTATCATGCGGCAAAATAGAAACATCCCGCCTGGGTTGCAAAAAGAACGTTGATTCCATCCTAGTAAGTCTCAACCGAGCGCGAACCACGAAGCTGCATGCGAGCGCGAGACAACGGTGACAGACTATTCCCGTAAGGACTGGTGGTACCATTGCGGCGAACCTGGTGAGGCCAGTACATAAGTTTGTGTGCCTCATCCGGCGAAGCAGTATCAATGACATAGCGGACGTTATTCTCGTCGACACATTCAATCTGCACACGCGGCGGGGGACACGGGTTAGGAAGCTGAATGATATCATCGTCGCTGTCTTCATGCGAGGAATCACTCGAAGGAGCCGAGTGAGCTTGCATACAGTAGACTGTCCCGGGGACAAAAGGCATATTAGAGCCCAAGCAGAGGTCGCCGATAGATTTCGAGCGTCCTTGTTTGCGAGGTACAGAGAGGCTTGCGCAGCCGCCGGTTGAGAGAGGTTGATGCTCACTGCTTGCGTGCAGTACATCCAGATACGTGATTGGCTCTCCGGATCCAGGGCGGGTGATGATGGGCTCTGTGCGAGGTTGGAATTCGGCCAGGAAGCCTGGGGTTGGGGGTGGGGCATCAGTGTGTCGACGGCGAGCGGGGGAGCCGGAGACTTTTCGTAGGAGGCGGTCGTAGCCGACACTTGTTGAGATGCTACGGCGGGTTTCGGGGGCCCTCTTGTGCTTGTATGAATTCCTGTTCATGAGCCGTTTCTTCGCTGAAGCGCTTCGGTGGAGTCCCGTTGCTGGTCTGGAGCAGTTGCTGAATTCGGCTTGGTCTGCTGAGGGCGTGAATGGAGGCCCCGGGGCGGGCACGGGGACTCGACGGAATGCCTCGTGGGAATTGACCTCGCGGACTATGGCGTCCTGCAGTGTCTCGTATGTTGTGTGGGGGCTTTGAACGGACTTATAAGCCTTGGTGAAAAATTCCATCACGTCCGAGGGTTTGAAGCGTGGAGATGATTTTGGGGGACTGATTGGGCTGGGAACAGGCAGAGGACTGTTCATGACCTCTGCGATGCTAGGTGCCTGCGTCAATTCGTAAGTTGAGGGTGTTGGTGGCTGGATGGCACGATGCGCAATTTTTGGGCGTCCTTTGGCAGCTAATTTTGTATTGATTGAAAGTCCTCGTGCATTCTTTTTGGAGGCTAATTCTGATAACTGTGGCGGAGGAAGCGATCCTTGTGTCCTGCGGTCTATTGTAGCAGGTGGTCGTGGCGCCTCCGCGGTGCCGTCACTTTCACCCATAGGGATAGGAATTGTAGGACTATCAGGCAGAGGAGTGTTGCTCCACCTTTTGCCTTGTTTATAGGCAGGAGGAACGCCCAAACGCGAGACAGGAGCTGGGGGTGCATTTCCTTGTGGGACAACGCCTTCGTCCGCAGAGAGGCTCGGCGCAGATCTCTGGGGTCTGAGGCGATTGCCAAGCTGCGACTGTGATCGTGGAGATGAAGTACCCGAGCCATCATCTGGCGAGGGCTGTGTCCGTAGATTTTCTGCCGACGTCCAGCTAGGCTTCCCTGGTTCCCGCTTCCTGTCTTTGCGCTGTTGGCTTTCTGGAATCCGTACCGTACCAGGCGCAGCTGGCGATGACCGAGAACTTAAGTGAGACAAAGGGCGAGCAGGTGCGCTATATTTTGCAATATTTCTGTCGGCCACATCCTCTTGGTATAGGGCCGAAAGTATACCAGAGCTAGCAAGTCCATTGCGGTACTGAATCCGTATAAACCGGGTCATGTTTCGTTCCGCAACATCTTCGTTGTATAGACTAGCAGGAGGAGAAAGTGGTTCCGGGGTAGTTGTTGGATCCGTGGAGAACAGAGCTTCCATCAAGTCGATATGTCGGCCATTTTGAGATTTAGAGAGCGCGAAATGAGTGCTGAGAGGCTGCAATTGGGGTTGAGGAGATATCGGCCGTTCCAGTCTATCATGTAGATCTTCGAAGTGCTTTTCGATCTGATCAAAATGATGACCCACATCTAGTGACTGCGAATTTCTGGACGGGAAACCACCCTCAAATGGACTTCGTGTAGGCGAGTCAACCGCCGTTTGAAAATAGCGTAGGTCTATTCCACAGTCCTCGTGTCCAGGGGTGGTTACTGAACGAGAAAGAGACTTGTCCGTGTGGAATAGTTTCTTTAATGGCACCATCTTGAAGAAATGAAGTAGATATCAAGCGCAAAACCGGCGCGCAATTGGAAAATGAAGGACCACGGTAGTGTAAACGAGAGGAAAATAAGATACAATAAAGTCAAGCTAATAATTAAGAGAGCGACAAGACCAGCGGTCATAAAGAATCGAACAAGTTGATGTCATGACATCTAAACTGGAAGAATTGAAGACCGTCACACAGTTCAGGTGTCATATCATCAGAAGGCAGGAAAAAGAAGAAGAAAGTCAAGTTAGTCAAGTCGCGAAGTCCCAAAAAGTAGAACAGGGCCCCAGTACGGACTAGGTATCTTGTCACAGCAGAGTGCAGATCTATCGCCGGTCTTGTGTCTGAATCAGGGGGGAGCGACCCGGTCTTCTCCATGATCCTAAGATCTGAATTTCTCAGGATCTACTCCGTATGCCCTTATTTCTTTGTTTGGAAATATGATTCGGCAATTGCAGCTCGAGTCGAGTCTTTCCCTTTCTTTTCGAGCCAATCTCGAGAAAAAAAAGGTTACCCAGAACTAGATCTGAATGAGTCGATTTCGCAGCGCGTGGAAGAAAACGTTCAGACTGGATCATAGGCTGCCCCATCCAAAGCTGTGATCCACACGTGAAGTTTTTTGACAGGATCCATATCGCTGGTCGATGGGCGAGAAGCTGCTCTAGTGAGTTCCAACAGCATCCACCAGCGATCGTGCACCAATCAGCGGTTCATCGAGGGGTTTCAATGTCTAATTCTGGCGAACGGGAGAGAACGATAGTGGATTCGGGGCTTGAATTGTGGCATGCGATGGAGCTTCCAATTTCCGCGCAAGCCGGTCATTGGTGTGATGAGGTGATCGCCAGACCGTGAGCCGTCTGCTTAGCGGGAACACATGAACCAAGTACATACGCTGTACCATTTACGGCCGGGCTCTGGCTATTTGAATAGTGCTGAAGTCGGATGGAGCTTTGGAGTTGGTTTTAGGGACAAAGAGCAAAAAGGTCTCTGGAGCGGGTCTCGGATTCCTTTCCGCAGTAGCGTCCTCCTCGCTATATTATGTTGTACGTATTACGGAGTACATGACTAGTATACCGTACTATGTTCACTCTCAGGGGCAAATTGAGGTCGATCTTTCATGTTGAACCCTGCCAAAACGCTGCAGGAGTTATCTACTCCTTCTAAGTCCTATTGTGGTAGTACTTCATACTTTGTTCAACATATTGTATGTGCCCATTGGTTGTATGCCACGAACTACTTAGATCCGATGTCCCACGATCGATCGATTCCGATGGGCCTTGCCTACTCCGTAGATCGGCATAATTTGTTTTATGGGAGAATCTAACGTCCAACTCTATCTACCCCTTTCTTTTTGGCTTTGACCAGTTTTTTTTAGAACATGAAAATATTTATGTTAGTCAATTAAATTATTGTCTTGTAACTACTCCATACTCTAACTAACAACATACCATTATTGAAAGGCGACCCACGGAGTATGGTACTGCGATCATGTGTTGTAGTCTCCGTTGTATATCAATGAAGCCTACCTATTTTGGACGACAACAACACCGAGGGAGAATTACATGCAAAAAGGTAGGATTATAAAAGCAAGTACGGAGTAAAAACACCTAGTAGCTTGTTAAAATCTTAGGCTATCAGTTTACAAACCCACTACTCTAGATAACTATATTCTTGCGTTCTAGGGCATCTTCTAGTCTTTGTGACACAGCTTCAAATGGATCGGTAAATAGGAACACAAAAATTAGCCTATTGCTACATTAATGATAGAGCCAATAAACTTCATTCATTCGTTATGTGTTGTGAGTATTTTAGACGCGAGCAAAAGACGTAGCGATAGATTCCCTTACAGCCTCAGCCAAGACAGTATTAGCGCCACGAGCCGCATCAACAGCTCCGTCGATCAAAGCTTCATGACCCGTACGTCCATCGTCTTTTTCAAGGTCCACCCTTGAGCTATCGCCCTTAAGCCAGAGCTCAGTAATCTCATCGCGCGCAGGCATGTACGCCACCACACAAGCCGACAAAATCGATCGGTGTTCCGCTGGATCAATGTCAAGCATGAGTCGCGGGGCAGATGATGCCGACTGATTTGAGTCGTCCGAGACAAGAGCAGCAACACCACCGGATACAAGGTCAAGACAGTCAATGTGGGCATCTGCAATGGCAGCAGAAGCCGCTGTGATACAACCGGCGAGAACGTTCATCATTCCCCAAGACGCATCATGCGAGTCGGGAGCATCACCCCACCAGCGGTCATCCTCTGCTTCAATGATTGTAAGAGTGATATCCAGACCACTCTTGGGCCAGCGCTCGGCGATAATTGCGCCGCGGAGGGCGGTCTCTAGATGTACGCCAAGGTCACGCTCGCTGGCATCACGGATATGTCCTTTCCGCTTGCGCGCGGCGAATGGCGCGTACTTGACATGAGTGGTGAGAACGAGGTTCGGCGAGAATGCAGCAGAGCGGGGGAGCGGCTTTGGTCCGTGGACAGTGCAAGCCAGTTTGAGTGCTGAGGAGGGCGGGATCAGAGATTTGGGGTTGGAGCGGGCAGCGGCGAGGGAAGCGGATGGTTCAAATTCAAGATATGAAGAGCCTGAGGCGGTTGGAATCAGTCCTGTTTTGAGAACTAGAGCATTGAAGGTTAGCTGCGATCAACAAGAAGCTTGTCGGCAATTCATACAGATTTTCCGTAGCTCGGTGGGTTGGCGCTGGCGCTGGGCGCGGTTTGCGACGCCTGTCGAGGATTCTTGGAGGGATGCATAGACTGGAGGTCTTGTGCCACCAGGTGGCCCATTGATACGTCTTCTATCAGCCATTTTAGGTGATTTGGCGCAAAACTGAAGCTGTCGAGAGATCCTGGTCAAAGTCCCAGAAACGGAAATCTTGGGAGTTTGCACTGTTTGTAGGCCCCACCGCCTAGCGCCGTTTGGTTTTTTGGCGACTTTTCTTCGATTTTTTGCTCTTCCGTTTCCTTTCTCTTCTTCACACACTCTGAATTTACTGAGGAAACTCCTTCTAATGCTGAGGGAGTAGACTCTTGATGATAGTTGTTATATTTTACTACATCCATCACTAATATGCTATAAGTGAGTACCCTTCAAACCCTCCAACCCTGTCTACATGATCGAGAGAGTTCCAACTCCTGTTTGGCGACAAAAAATGGGCCATGAACAAACATGCATCACCATCTGATAATGACAACAATTTTACTCTTGTTTTCAAATATTCTACTGCTACGCATCAGCGACTAACAATTGCTTAAGACAGGAATAAAACACTCTTGTTTGTTTTGGATTACATGAGAAATATGAACTAATAAGGTAAGAACATTCTTTTTTTTTCTTTACTTTCCCACCTGCACTCATTATGATGAGAAACCTTTTCAGTTCTGCTTCTGCAAAATTTTTGAAGATAACAAAACACTTACCAAAAACTCCTGATCCTTCTTGAGTCATTATCATTGTCTTTCAACCATCCTGTTAGTGACAAGAGTGCTAACAACTCAAAAAGATCTAGCTGTAAACCATCAATTGTTTGGTCCTCTACCTCATATATCCAAAAGGTACATCATTGTCTTTTTCAACTGCACATCTCCCCCAGCTATTATGATGACAACCAGTCTATCCATTCAACGACCTCTTGGAGGACCGCCCCTCAGGTTGCACCCAAGCCGTACAGCGTTGTGAGGAATACAGGCGTCGATCCACTGTTTTCCATCTCCCTTATACTGGACCTGTCGTGCCTTCGGGTGTGAAAGGGAGGAAGGTTGTGGAGCCTGGAGGCTTTGGGCTTGTCGTCGTCTGATTACGTTCTTTGCATTGTTGTCTTGTCCGCGGCATGGTACTGCTATACTTGGCTTGTGTTGGTTTCCTAATGCTGGGCTGCTTATCCGTCTTGGGTGACAGTTCGGTGCGAGGGGCCAACAGGGGATGGGATGAGTTAACCGGCTTGACTGAATACTATATATGCTTCTACTTTTGCTTGCAATTGTGAAGCTATTCGTGCTTGTTTCGCTCCTTCGGGTCTTTGGACTTTCGCTGACAGCATTCAAAGCTTTGCCTAGGTCTCCAATTCGATACCATAATATATAGTTTAGTTCAATACATGCATATTAGCAAACATCTGCGTCATGAAATCTTCGTAGTCGAGTAAATGAGTTTGATTGCTTATCCCACGACTTGTGGGCTGCATCTATGCCTTCTCCCCGGGTCTATTTTCCGATGCGTACTAGAACTGATAGCCGAAGGCTAAGAGCAGATGGTTGAAGTTGGAGGCCCTTATGTAGTTACTTGTTATCATATACTCTTCAGAGCTATCAAACAAGCCCCGATATATTGGTATTGCGAGTGGTTTTATGTCTCCCATTCCCCTAAGAGTCTTAGAGAACTAAGTCAATGATCACAAAAAAAGCAATAGATTTCTCTTGAAGCTATGTACGAAGTAGAGAAGAAAAAGTAATCAGCCCACAGCCAAATCGTCCCCAAAAGGCAAGACACATGAAAATCACCACTGCAACCCACCCAACCCCTGAAATCTAAACAAAACCATCATGGGAATCATTATCTTGAACCTCGCATCATCATTTACATGCGAGGCAAGAAAAGCAAAACAGGACAACTCCTCTTTTCTTCAACACATGATTTCTCCTAGTTATGACATGTTTCTTTTTTTTGTGATTTGGTGATTTTGTTTTTTTGCTGTAAAGCACTCAACTGTCGATTGCCAAATCCACTTGAGATTGAGGCGTGTCTTCAACACGAGTCGTCGTCTGCCAACATAAGTGCATGGCTGGGTTTGACGTATCGGGAATCTGCCTCGATGGATCATTATTTGCTCTCCTCGACTGGTGTCGTCGTTCCATTGGATCTTGACATGCTGTAGGGAGCCTGCATCGTTGACGAGTTAGCTTTGGTCCAACAAGCAGATTTCAGCCTGCAATTTGATACTTACAAGAACTTTCTTGGCGTTGCAGATTCTCCAAGCCAGATTCCGCACG